GACTTTTACTGCTACGCTTCTCCTAATTTGGCTCAAGATGTTTGGTGTCACCAAAATGATTTTCGGATTAACTAGTCTCTCCTTGAATATTGTAAACATTGATTATTACTAAAGAGTTATAAGTATAAAATAGATTTTATTACACGAGAAAAAGGGAAAAGTCGATACATTGTAGGTACATCTCTCGGCTCCTGACCCCGGATTCCAGCCCTTTGACGTCTGACGCCGTAACTGCCGATTCCTCCAGGCCGTCCTCCAGACCCTCCTCCAGGCCGTCCTCCAGGCCGTCCTCCAGACCCTCCTCCAGATCGTCCTCCAGACCCTCCTCCAGGCCGTCCTCCAGACCCTCCTCCAGACCGCCCTCCAGATCGTCCTCCAGATCGTCCTCCAGGCCGTCCTCCAGACCCTCCTCCAGGCCGTCCTCCAGATCGTCCTCCAGAGAACTCCCGGTCACTCGACTGTGGTCCCCCGGACTGTCCTCTCCCTCCCACCCCATATTGTGTTTAGGTTATTTCTCTGTATGGCCCAACCACCCACCTTTGTGTTGAATCATTGACTCTTCTGTGTTGTGTTCCTAAATAAAGTTTATTTTGTTCGTAAAGTCTGCGATTGGGTCCTACTTCTGCCATCAACTGTGATAGAGAATGATGCAGCTTGTGTACTAACAAGAACTAAGAAAAGGGATCATATTACTCCTGTTTTAGCATCTCTGCACTGGCTCCCTGTTAAATCAATAATAGAATTTAAGGTACTTCTCCCCAACTAAAAGGCACTTGCTGGTCAAGTGCCCTCTCATCTTTAGGAGCTTATAGTAACATGCTGCGCTAAATGCTGGGTTACTTGTGGTTCTAATAGTTTTAAATAGTAGGATGGGAGCCAGAGCCTTCAGTTATCAAGCTCCTCGTTTGTGGAACAGTTTACACTCTCAGTCCAGGGGACAGACGCAGTCACCTCATTTAAGACTAATCTGAAGACTTTGCTCCTAATCTAGTTAGGCCTGGCTCAGGTAAGCCTGAGCCCACTCAGATGTGGGAGGAACTATGAGAGCATATTATTAATCACATTTAAGAGAGAAAGTAGAGAAGTGAGAGCGGTGTGAGTGTGAAGTAGACGGGAAGAGAAACAATCAGAGCACCTGTGTCATGAGTGTGGTTGTGTCTGCGCATGTCACTTCTGTCATTACGCCACTACATGCAAAGGTGGATAAAAGAAAATGCATCTCCTATTTTGCAGCCTCAAGATGTGCAAATTCATTCTGGCTAAACTGTCATATTCACTGAATTATTATTACAATAGTAATGTTTTACAGGGTGCATTTACCTTTTAAATGAGGGAAGGGTTGAGTACTTATTTGCAGGTTAGGATCAGTGAATTTGGAGGTAATGAAGGATTTGCTCAGGGCAACGTTCTCACAGCTTAGTCTGCATAGCTGCATGCTTCCTGGGATGAAAGTATAGTCTATGTTTATTGTCCGCTTCACAAAGCAGGACCACAAAGAACCGTTTTAAGAGCTCGTAATCAAATCCTGTTCTTTTCAGCTGCTCCCTGCACCAGAATTATTGTTTCCTTTACCACAATATTAAATTTAACTACACACTTGTCCTCTTGTGGTTTGCCTTTCTCTTCATGGCGTATCACTTCATGGGTCTTGTTGAGGAGCTCGTACAATCCAGGATTAATGTTTAGGATCAAGGTCATATCAGTTATTCCGGTGTAGGTTGTGCCCAAAAGTAAGAACTAAATAACTGACAAAATAAGTTCCGAAAATCCCAAATATCACATGTTTAAATGAGCTGATATGGACTCAATTACAGACTGACTCATTAGCACAGGCTTGACATTAACTGTAAATGTGCCAGTGAGCATCAGTCAGTTATCACTTGACAGTAGACATTGTATATGACTCGTCATAACGCTAAAAGGCAAAAGTTCTGGTTCTGTTGATGTGGCTGTTTACACACATCATATGTACCCAAACATTACTGAACAACATCAGCATTAACTTAAGCCTAGTTTATGTTCTGTGTTTTCAGAGCGACGCAGACGCAAGACCCCCCTGCGTGTCCCCTGCGTGTCCCCTGCGTGTCCCCTGCGTGTCCCTTGCGTGTCCCTTGCGTGTCCCTTGCGTGCCTTTTCACACCTCCTTGCGTCCTTGCGTGCGTCGACCCATTTTTCCCGCAGCGCACAAACTGCGATCGGTCCGCTAACTACGTCCTTTACGGAGTCTCACATTTCCGCTTTCATAGCCCGATACCGCCATTATTAAAACGAAGAATGTTTACGAGAGAACGGATCAGATTGAAGAATTTTTGTCGGAAGAAATGCGTAAATATGACCGCTTATACAAGCCGTCATAGGCGGATTATAAGGACGCGCGGATGGCCTCTGATTCATGGAGGAAGATCTCCGCAAACGCCGGTTTGCCGGTCGAGGGGAACAAAGTTGTGGAGGAAAATACGGGACAGATGTGTCCGCGATGAAAAGCAGCAGTGGCGATGCACGGGGCAATAAAGTCTATGATAAATAAATAAACAAACCAACAACTTCCACACACAAAGACGTGACTCTCTAGGTCGTCTTCAACAGAAACACGTTTCTCCACCTGATGTTCTGGAGGTGAATTGCTCTGCAACACACGCAAGACTTTTTAGAACCATGAATTGAAACGAGTGCGTCGACGCAGACGCAGAAGCATGCGCCAGCCTTGACACCGACTGCGCACCAGCACGTGAGTACTGATGCTCAGTAGCGTGTGTGTGTGTGTGTGTGTGTGTGTGTGTGTGTACTGTGAACTAGTGGCTGTCATTGAGCATATTTAACTTTTTTTTTGTTGCATTACCGCCATCTTCTGGCTCCCACCGCTTATACTTTCCCCATCAGCCCTGTTGCCTGCAAAAAATGTATAAAGCACCTTCTTCCAAGCTTACTAGACCCCCACTCTAGTACATGGTTTGTCTCGCTTCCTTTCATCCCTTGCGTTTCCATTTCCTTCAGCACGTCTTTCCTCTCTGCGCTGTATCTATTACAAGCAGAGATAACGTGTTGCAGTTTCTGGTGACTGGCAGCGCTCACAGAGGCCAGTTGGATGCTTCCCGATCAGGTGCCGTGTGTTTTGTAGGTTGCTGTGACCTATTCTTAGTCTCGCCATTGTGACTTCTTCTCTCCGGTTTCCTCCCCTGAATTTTACACTGCTCACTTTATTCTGGATTGAGTGAAAGTGTCTGCTGCCATATTTTCTTTATTAGCCTGTGCCTTTACCTCATCTTCTAGGCATAGGATTGAATCAAAGGGTCTCCTGCCTTACCTGAAACCACTCTGGCACCACACTAACATCCGTTTTTTCTCCACATAGTACATGAATCTCATTTACCATCCGTTCCATAAGTTTACATGAATGTGATGCTGGGGCAATTGGTCTGTAATTCGCTGGGTCACTGGCCTTCAGGGATATCAAAGTAAAGGTGCCTTGCGTCTGTGAAGCGCTTCAGCGTGCCGGGATATTCAGGAAAATAGAGTTGAATGTCATACATGCAGTCTCTTTAATGGAAATCCTGGGTCAGGGGCCACGTGGGACCATTGACGCAGGACGAGATGGGAGGAGACGTAATAAGGAGAGCGTGACCACGGTTTACTTGGGAGGAATCTGATGCAGTCCAAAAAGGGGTAAAAGACACTTTAAAAGCCATCAGAAAGATTTAAAGACAGGAAAAACAACATGAATCCCTGGAGCTTCTCCCACAGGACACTAAACATTACACATCCTTATCAGAATAGAGGCAAGGAGACATTTGGTTTTTAATCAGATCACAAATTCGTTTATTGCAGCGCACATAAGTGAAGACATTCAATTCCTTTCCACAGGACGGTAAGAGGTCACTTAATGTATTGTTGAACAGTCTCTTCTGTACCTCCTCAGCCATGTGAAGGTAAGATTTACAAATTCACAACAAAATGGGAAAACCTTTAAGACGGATTAAAAAGGGGAAGGGAGAGTTGTTAGTCATAAAAATGCTGCGTCGGACTATCTGCAGTCCAAACGCCAATGATACATAAATAAATAATTGAGAATTTTGCTTCGTTACTGAGCAGAGATTACCGCCTGCTCACGACTTTAATGTGGTCTCATTTCATCCTCACCCTGGGTCAAAGGTCAGCTTTTAATTGATACATTGTATATGTCATTTCTGTACCAAGTCAAACCCACGTCCCAACAGTTCATCACAGCACTCCACTTTCCCCCTGTCCATTTCTGCATTTATTGGAATGTCATATTGTAAAACTGCTGCTTTATTAATCACAGTGTTGGCAGTACTTAAGAAGCCTCTTGCAGCATGAAGCTCTAATTACCACTAACATCTGAAGCCACTGTGTGTGAACATAAAAACATTGTCTTTCACTAGTATACCCAATAAAAAAAAAGACAACCTGGTTCGTCCTATGCTAGATTAGCCGACTAGCCTCAATTACGTGTGGGTTACAGTTCTTATTCAACGTTACAATGAGTTATTTTAGCTGAACGAGTATAGTATATCGCTGTTAAAAAAGATGCAGTTATTAAAACCAGAAGTTGGATTGACTTCTCAAACACCGGGTCCCCCGAGCCGTCAGTCCTCGAAAGACAACACGCGTGTCTTTGTTTAAACTGTGGGGATTGGGCTTTTTTTTAAATATACTCTCTTCCTTCAAATTGGATGATGTTAACCTGTTGTGCTTCTTTAAGACATGTTTTGAATGCAAGGCATCTGGAATGTTGTAGAATCGATTTTAGTGATTGATAATTAGTGATTGTCCTCAGTCCTCGCCCATTTACCTGTGTGCTCCCGATGCATATTTACACAGACAAAGAGCCGTGTTCTCAACCTCTGCATTTACAATGAAACAAACGAACATTCATTAAGACTCGGATTCCAAAAACAGTAGAGGCATCTAGGCAATCCCTGTTTCCACCCCCCCCCCCCCACTCACAACTAAACAATATGTACAAAAAGACAGTTGAGGACTTGATTTCCTTCAAAAAGTGCACGAAAAAAACAGTCAGGCTGCGTACACAGTCTCAAAGAACTTTGACTGATGTAATGTGGAAACAGCTCAGACAGAATTAGGTTAAGTGGACAAGAGGCTAAAACACACACACACACACACACACACACACACACACACACACACACACACACACACACACACACACACACACACACACACACACACACACACACACACACACACACTCTGTACAGTGTTTTATAATTCTATACACCATATGTGGAGAAGCACACATCAGCTAGTCCTAAAGAATTCACTGCAGCTCTCCAAACCATTTAAATAAACAGTCCCTCCTGTAAATAGCTGCTTGGAAAGCCTCTGTGGGGGAAAAAAAAAAATCAGAAGGTTGTTTAAAAGAAATGAAGGAAAAAAAAGAAGAAAAAAAAGCCGATGATGGGTTGTACCATATATCATGATTCGGCAATTAGACGCAAGTGAACATGAAACCATTCTGCGCTCACGCCGCATGTCCTTCCCTCCTTCTGTCGCACTTTTACCAGTCAAGATTCCGTCTGTGCCGCAGGTATGTGTACGTGTGTGGTCAGATGACCGGGGTCCCGAAGCATTTGAGGCACCACTGGACGCTGGGGCTGGGCGGGCGGTCGATGAGGTGCAGAGACTTGAGCTGCTCGGCGCTCAGTTCGTCGTAGGCCGAGCGGTACTCCCTGTCGAAGGCCTCTGCGGGTGTTCAATAGAGGGGATTAGTAAGAGTCAGAATAGATCAAACATCAGACCGCCTCTGGTTTTGATGCAACTTGTGGTCCCTTAAGGCGCGTTTCCACCGAGCGGTGCGGTACGGGTCGGGTCGGTACCCTTTTATTTGTGTCTCCACTGCCAAAAGTAGAGAATGATACCAAAAATCTGAACCGTACCACTTTTTGGGTACCCTTCCGTTGGGGTACCTGGCACAGTTGTTTGGTACTAAAGGGTGGAGCTAGACTCACTGCACCACACTTTCAGCATGTAGCCTCAAACAAAGATTGTCGTCTCCTTGTGACAAACAGCCACATATCGAGAAGCAAGAACAGGATCGGCTGTATGTCCTCCATTGTTGTTTGCGGTTAGCTTTCACTTTTCGCGCGATCGAATGACGTCAATCTACTTTCCGTCATATACCACGCCTATCAAGTGACGTTATCACTACTTTCTGGAATACACCACGCCTATCAAGTAAGGGTACTGTTGGCGGTGGAAACGCTCGCCAAATCATGGTTAACAGACCCGACCCGTACCGTATCGCTCGGTGGAAACGCGCCATTACAGGCATCAAAGTGACACCATACAGTTTAGAACCACCACCAGATGGTGCTGTGATGGATTTAACTTACCGACATCGATGTTCTCCTTCCCCAACGCCACCAGTGAGAGGAACAATATTTCTCTATAGATACTCCTGGGAGAAATACAGAACACAGAAATGTGACTCACTGACATGACAAGGATATAAATGTCACCAATGTTGGGAGGCAAAATCTCGAACCAACAAAAAAGAAGTCCCTAGTGCTTTAATTGCTTTATGCATCAGTAGAAGTGGACATATTTGTCAGGAGGAGGACAAAGACAGACCTCTGCCTTTTGACACCCTCTGGGCGCCGTTTGATCTCTCGGATCAGCAGGTTGATCGGCCCGTAGATGTCGTTGGTCTGGATGTTGCGAACAATCGTGTTGAGGAGGGTACGAATCTCGTGGTGGTCCGTCGGTGCCAGCATCCCCTTCTTCTCCACTGGAAAAGAGCATGGACACTATCATTAAAACCACAGCAGCTTAACCGATGTGACACATTCATTGTTAGATCGGTTTGCAGCCAATACGTCAGCACACTTGTACCCCTCCCCCCTCATTCAGGGTGTCCAGACTCACACAAGGTCCTCCAGCGCTGGTAGAGCGGCTCTCCGTGTTCCTGGTGTAGATTGATGTTGTCCCACAGGAGCTGGACGTACACCTGCTTGCTGTCCTGGGACAGCGACGTCAGGGGCAGCTGCAAAGAGAAAACCTTCGGGTTAGAATACGGCCAAAAAGAACATGAAGGAAACATCTCAAAAGTCTGTGGAGTCAATTGTTTGGGACAGGATGAGTTTGATGACCGAGCGCAGACGTCCACTAACGGTGGCGTCTTAAGTCTCTCACCTGTACGCCCTTGTTACAGTGTTCAGAGGTAAGAATGAGGCCAGGTAGGTGAGTGGGAAGGTCCAGGCGACGGAAATACCAAACCAGATTCCAGAAGATGATTGGGTGCTGGCTGAGGAACTTGTGGGTGTAGATCACCTGGTTGGACACGGAGGAGGAGGTCAGCAGCCGCGCGCCAAGCGTCTTACTATCAAAGAGTGCCGCAGCGTGTGAACTTTTACCCGATCGCCCTCGTTCTCCAACAGGGTCTCCAGCTCCTTGCGCAGCACCAAGGGGCTGAGGTACGGAACGGATACAGGCTTAGGGTTCGCCATTTTAGTCCCCATGCCGTCCTGACAAATACAAACACGCTGATCATTTTAACTGCAGCGGCGTTGATTTTGGGTTACTTCGCGACGGTAAGGAGCACTGACCGACGCCGCCTGCAGGCTGCAGGGCAGGCTGGTGGTGGAGACGCCGTGTCCGGGTCTCTGGGAGTAGTCCAGGCTCTGCAGCGGACCCCCGACACTGTTGCTGCGCGTCAGTGACGTCACACTGCTGCTGCGCTGCTTCCCCGCCGCCTGGTGCTCCAGGAGACCCAAGGGGTCCGGCTGCACCGGCTCTGGGACCACACTGGAAACACAGCGGGCAAAAGGAAATTCTTGAGCTTGTATAACACGAATAGAATACGTTCGCTACGTCGGCGTCATCGTCAGCGCTTCTCACACGTTTCGCGTCAAACTGATTTCACATGTTGGCGTTTACCTCTTCTGTGCAACAGGCAGTTTGTCTGGAGTCTCCCTGGGTTCCTCTTCGGGGAAAGTAATAAGGTCCGATGTCTTAATGTCAGCGGAGCTGCTGCCTGTGGGATGGTTGCTGGTGCTGTGGATACTGTCTCCTGAGGCACCGGGGTTCATGTAGAACCTGAGTGTGGTACATTTTTTCAGTTTGTATGTTACCCTCTTAGCTTTTATAATTCTGGATATTAGTTTAAAATAGGAACACAAGAGAAGGGACACGGTTTGACCCTGAAACAACAGCCTCTTACCCGGTCATAGCTCGCAAGTCGTGAAACTCGACGTGCAGTAACGGAAGGAAGGCCGTGCGACAGAAGGGACAGTTGGTGTTCAGGTTGGAGTCGTCGGCCGTCCAGCCCGCCATTATCTCCTCGTCGTACACCAGGGCTTCACAAGAGCGGCACTGGGAGCAGCTGGACATCAGCACCTGTCGGCAAAATGCGGCCTAACCGGTCAGTTGCCGTTGTCTGCATCGACGTAGAAAACACAGCAGTGTCTAACATTGCCATGCACGAACCTCCAGGGCACAGTTCTGGTAAATGCTCGAGGAGGAGGCGTGATGCGAGGAGCTCTGCTCAGAGTCCGGACCCCTCCCTGCTCGTCCGGGAAGTGGATCTGCGCATAGAGACCCAAACAAACTTTAATATATGTACACACTTCAGAGCAGCGAACCTCATTGGGCGCCTTTCACTACAGATTGATTGCTTACGTGTGGTAACGCCCCGGCCCGTGTCGCTGCTGCCACTGCTGCTGCCCAGGCTGGTGCGGCTCTGGTTGAGGCCGTTGGACACCAAGCCCGGGATGGCTCCTCTCTCGGGGCTCTCATCCGCGTCACTCGCAGCCAGCATGTGTTCATCCAGATGGGACGGGAAACCGCCGCCACCCTGAGCCGCTTCTTCCTGCACAGCAAAGTTAGATAGAAGTTAGAGGATTGCTCCAAAATAAAAAAAAAGTTAAGAGCTCAAACAGCTAATATTAATTAAAGAACATCTCTTCTAAACGCTCACCTCGTCATCCGAGTAGGAGTAAGCCGAAGCGACCGCTCCCCACACTTTGCTGGCCACATTTGCTGCCTGTTTCATGCCGGACTTGAGCACATCAATCTTAGGTCCCGACAAGAGGTGGTCCATCTTGATGCCTGAAAAGGAGTTGATGACCGAGCCCAACGACCCTCCCTGGGAGGACTTGACCAGCGCCGTCAGCGAGGACGATCGAGGGCCTGGGCTACGCGCTGCGCCGCCGGTGGCGGCGACGGTCTTTGTCTTTGCCGCGAAGGTCTTGGAGCGCGTCACGGGCGCCGGGCTGCGCTTGGGCGTATCGCCCGGGGAGCCGGTTGGAGTTTTGACAGGCGGCACGGGGAGGCTGCACCGGCGCTCCAAAGGCTGTTTGGATCCCGGCGGGTCGGCGGAGTCTCCCTGGGACTCCTGGAGCTCCATGCTGGAGGACTTTACGCCCGTGGGGCCCCTCAGGCTCATGTACATTTCGATCTCTTCGGCCAGGTTGCGGGACACCACGGCGGGCACGGAGCGCGGGGGCTCCTGGCTGCTGACGGAGGCCGACTCGTCGCTCTCCGTCACCAGCAGGGAAAGCGGGTCGGCGCCTGCCTCCACGTCAGCTCTTTCCAAGGTTGGCCCCCGCAGCCCAGGGTCCTCCCCGTTTGTTTCAGTGTTCTTCCTCTCTCGATGGACCTTTTTTAACTCAGTCACGTCCACATCCATCTCCTGCCCCTCCGCTGCTGCTTCTCCCTCCTCCTCTGGCAGCTTCACTGATATCAAGCCCTGGTCGTCCTCAGGCTCTTCCTCCAGGTCTTTAAAAAGGGCTTTGGACACACTATTGGGGGGCGGACTTTGACCTGCGCAGAGCGCTGCAGCCAGGATTCGGGCATCGGCACCCATCTGACTGGCCATGTGGTCCACGCCTTTCTCGAGGAGCATCCCGGCGCGCGTCTCAGCGCTGAAGCTACAGCTGCGCTCGGCGAAGGACTTTTGCCGCTGCTGTTGGGGTTGGTTAGCTACATCCCCCGAGGGCAGTGAGGCGTCGTCTTCAGGGAGAGACACGCGATCGGCCTTGCTGTTTCTTCTGAACAGCTTCCCCGGACCTGAGAAAACATAACATAAACAAAACATCATAGAAGAGAAATCCAAAGCATTGACGTGGCAATGACTTTCTTAATTGAACTTAAAGACTCCTTCTCCTCACCCGTTTCCCTGCCACTATCAAAGCTCCCCGTGGACAGCTTCACAATACTGGGGACAGGTGACGGGACATCAACAGAACCGAGGACGTCTGCAACTGCGACAGCACTGTCCACTGAGCCAGCAATGTCACCTCCTGGTTATTAAAAGGTACATTGTCAATAGAATACTATCAATGTCCAAGGAGGAAATGTGGCTCTGTTGCACACACATTTAAATGCGGAAGCCCGCGAACGAAAGGAGCCTTTTACTCACCGTTGTGCTGCGCTCTGGAATGGTTCCTCTCCTCGGCGGAGAGGACAGCTGAATGCAAAAGCTCCTGGTGCAACTCATCCTTGGAGCCGTAGCCTTGGTCGGACTGGCGTCCTGTGGACCACACAAACCACGCAGTAAATGTAGCGGTCGAGCTAATGCCGTTTCTGACCTTCAGGTTTTACAGCCTTACAACATGCAGGGGATCAGTACCTGTGCTGGAGTGGTTGTCTGGTGTGCTTTCCATGCCGTGGCTGCCGGCAAACAGGTCGTGTTCCTCCCCGTTGACCTCACTCGAGCTGCCGGCACTTCCGTGACTCAAACGGTCAGCGTCGGTGACGGCGCAACCCCCTATTGATGCGGCTACAGACCGATGGACACAGAGGTAAAAAACAACGGAAAACAGAAAGTATCATCCAGCCCCGTTCTAAAGAATATTGCATTCCCACCTGTGGGGGGGTCCTTACTGGAAGGGGTCCGGTCCAGCGAGTGCTTGAACTGCGCCACTCCACGAAGCACGTTACGAACTTTGGTCCACATAAAGAGGCCGCTGCGGTTCCTGCTGGGCCACGGGCTCTCCAAGACGGCCTGCCGGGGGAGCAGACGGAAGGATGAGGACGTGTGGAGGTAGTCTTCAAATTTTTGTTGATGTGGCTGAATAGTAGTGCTTGAATTTGCGTTGAGCTACGACCGAAGTGTGTTTTAGCTTCTTTTTTTTTTTTAAAGGGCTGTACCTTGTTGTAGTATCCATATGTGATGGCGTTCGGATGCACTCCAGCTTTCTTCATCTCAACCAGGACTCGCACGGCCATGACGGGGAGACCCCATACACCACAGAGCTGCATCACCACTCGGTAACACACCTGATGACCCCAGAGATAAAAAGGAAAAAGCCACAGATAATTAAGACCTTCACCGTGAGACTCTTAAGTCACATTAGTTAAATCCGACTGTACCTCATCCAGCACCTCCACCTCGGTGGTCCTCATCTTCAGGAGGACGTAGTACGCCTGCTGCATGGCGCGGCTTTTGGACTTGGAGAGCCGCACAGCGGCCGGCAGGCAGATGAACCACAGGCTGTAGCAGTGACTGAACATGCAGCGGGCCCACAGCGGGGGGTTGGAGTAGAAACGCTTGGCCATCTTGTACGCGAGCTTGATCTCCTGTTGAGACAAGGCGGACGTTTCAATGTGGATAGCTGGTATGCGGGCGTGTTCAGCAAGAGGTCCTTGCCGCGGCTTTGCGAGCCCGTGCTCACCTGCTTCGTCCTCTTGGCCAGGAGGGCGGGGCTGCTGCACAGACTGGCCCCCGCCGCTCTGCTGCTGAGCGCCGGGCGGAACTCCCTCGGGCGGTCGAACAGCTCCATGTGCAGCCTGGGGAAACTTTTGTAGCTGGAGGACGAGATGAGGGATTGTTGCAAGGTTACCTCTGCTTTGGTTTACTGTTTTTTTTGCTATAGTGGTGTTATAAGACCTACGTGTATCTGGGGGAATGTTCAGTTCCATCGCCCACTGGAGGCTCAGGAGGCATGACGAAAACTGTGTGTTCACTCTTCTGGGACTCGTCCAGCTCCAGCAGTCTCGTGTCCTCAAATGACTCCCCTTCAACCTATATAGAGCATTGAGCGATACAGACAACTATGACTTTTACAGTCAGCAGGTCATTTCCTGTCTGATGGCAGGAGGTAAACAACTACAGTTGTGATTCAATCAAGCTTTTCTATTGAGGCAGTGGAACAAGTTTATTTTTATTGTAGGTTAGGGTTTGTTGGGAGAAGAAAAGGAGGAAGTTTCCATGCCCCGTACTTAACCTTTTATCATAGGAAGAAGAAGGTTATTTGAAATACCTTTTAACGTAGTCACAAAACAACAAGTCATGCGGAAATGTGATTACAGTGTAATCATGGTATTACCTTGGTGCCCTTGTCGCTGATTTTATCAGAGGGAAAAAGCTGCAAGAAGAGGAAAGGGAGCAAAGGGAGCAGAATGAATCGGAGGAAATTTCAGCTTCCTTAAACTCTAGTGTCATTTCGCCAATAAAACTAAAAACAAAGGCTTGCAAACATCCAGTGACGGAGAAAAAACAATAATCAGGCCAACGTACGGCGCATACGTATCAGAGATCGCCCCAACGCAGGTTTGGTAATCACCTTCTCGACGCAGTCGTCAAAAAAGGCCAGACCAGTGTCTTTGTCACTGACGAAGGTGCACTCCTCAATGAAGCGGATGAATATCTGGGTCTTGGTGAGCTGGGAGTAGAACTTCTGGTGGGCTCGGTCTCTGCTTTTGAGAAACCCTGCAGGAAGCCAAGGTCAGGGTGTGTGGACACAGCTGATTGGCTCGTAAAAAGATAAACTTGGATCGAGTGATCATTTAAGTGCTCCTTGAAATAGAACAGGCAAATAACACTCAATATTAGACGAAGCTATCAAAATGAAGGCCGCTAGATTGTGTTTAGGTTACAAAGCCGGGAAGCAATCATCGAAACCATGAGCTACATATCGATTTCTATAGTTTTACGCATCATCCATCGTTACTTTTTCATTCACACCATCATTTTCCCCTGGTTCCACATATTTAAATCGAGCGGTCGATCCCGTGCTTACCTTGCAGGTCGTAGAGGGAGTCTGCGGCCGTGGCCTTTTCGGAGGGCGCCTGTGTGATGGGCTTGAGGTAGATGCGGTAGCCCCTGAGGATGGAAGCCATGAAGCGGAGGAAGTTCTCCTGGATTTCCATCTCCAGCGCGGTCTTCTTCTTGTGCCAGGTGAAGTCCGCCTCGATGGGGGTCATGTCCACTGCAGAGTCGTCCTGTGGGGTTTGACGTACTGAAACTAAAAAAAACAGACACAACAAGAAGGTCATCTTAAACAATTAAAATAAATTCTGATAATGGAAAGTTATGCACATTATTAAACAAGTACTTGTATCAACGGAGGAAGTATGGAGCTCAAATAAACGTGTGTACCAAAAGGAAACCAGACATTTATAGAATATAATGAAATGCAAACTAAATGATTAAAGTAGGGGTGTGTAAAGAAAAATAAGGCATTCTTTTACTTTTTTTTTACCAATCAGTTGATAAAAAAAACATTTTCATATTTTTGGGTATTGACAGTTTTTCTCTTCATTCACCCAGACTGAAAGTATGAAGCTTTCCATCAAATCTCTAAACTATTTCTATTATCCATCCATCCATTGTCAAACCGCTTATCCTGCACACGGGACTGGTCGCCAGCCAATCGCAGGGCTACACAGAGACATACAACCATTCACACTCTCATTCATACACCTACGGGCAATTTAGAGTCCCCAATCAACCTGATCCCCAGTGCATGTTTTTGGACTGTGGGAGGAAGCCGGAGAACCCGGAGAGAACCCAGCAGACCTTCTTGCTGTGAGGCGACAGTGCTGACCACCACACCACCGTTATTCTCTTTTTATTCCTCACAATGCACTTGATAAGCTATATAAAAAGGTCTTTACCCATTCAATTTGAATTATTTGAATAAAAATAACTGCTTTAGTTATATTTTTGACTTTTCATAATCGTCATTTACATACTCATACTCTGATGGAGATTTGGCTCTATAGAGATTTTAGACACTATTATTTGTGACTGTGCTTGTATTTAACATGATTTCATATTAAGTTCTTCTTAATACGTTGCCCTGTAAAAACTCTTTTGGGAGGCAGGTAGTTCCCTGAACGAGGCTTTTGCTCCAAGAAGTGGCAAGATGTAGTTTGTACCAGTGGCCAGCTGGTGGTGCAGGTTACTCAGTGCGTTAATGAGACTCTTGCAGGGCTTCTTTGGCAGATTCTTCCAGTTGCTGTGTCTCTTTTCGTCTGAACTGTAACACACAATACCACAAAAGGGCAGTCAGCTGGAAGGAACGGGATGAACGCACAACAACGATTTGCACTGTGCTCCTAGTTGAACAAATGTTTGAGATCTACAGTAAAAAGCAGGCAGCGACATGGGTTCAGGATCAAAGCACAGCATTACAGGTAGATAGTGTTGGTGTCCAGGTCCACACAGACGACATCCGGCGGGGGGTCGTAAAGGTCAAAGTAGCGGGAGTCCACGCCCACTATGAAGGGACAGGGGGCATTGAGGACGCCCGCCAGGGAGAGCGGGCAGAGGGGGATGTAGGGACACTGCCACTGGAAGGGGAAGATCATCTGAGGAGAGACAAGCGAGAGAAGCACAATTAGCACAAGCTTAGGACCCCCTCCGGACTGCGACACACTTCCAAACTTTCTAAAGAGACGGGTCAATAGGTCAAATGTTATTTTAAAAAAAAGGAGTGATCATCTCTTATTGACTGGGATGACGGTAAAAAAGTTTCAGAATAATAGTTAGAATGATTTTTTTAATACGCACCCCTGTACCTGTGATTGTGCCTTCATGTCCCGAGTGTCACAGATGAAATACAGGCATGAATAATGATGTGTTATTGTCTGAATAGCAAACAATCACTCCCCCCCACACTTAAGTTGACTTCATTTAGGGAATCTGCATTTTTATCTTCTGATAAAAATGTCAGAGAAAACGTAAAATCTATAGGACACGAAACATGTGGAATGTGTTACTGTTGAAAATCTACAGAAACGTGTTACCATCAAATATAAGTAAAGAAAGTTGTGCTAATTATAGTCATACGCAGTTCCAGCATGTTGTTCTGCTTTCTGAAATGTACAATGAATTTGCATTCCTATCACACTACGCCACTCATCACAGGTTATGAATCAACATGTTTGTTATAACGCTTTCCTGCAGACGATTAAGTTAGATTTTCCTTTCAGTGGAGCCTTTTAATAACAACAAGAATGATTTAATGTCAATCTCACAGATGAAGACGAATGCATGCATGATATATATATATATACATATATATACATATATATATATACATATACATATATACATATACATATACATATATATATATATATATATATATATACACACACACACTGTATTTTGACAATGTCACACTTACAGCCACCACGGCTTCTGCCACTCCGGTGAGCACGGCGGGCCGGAGCGAGTGCAGCAGGATCTTGCTCTCCAGCAGGACAAAGTGCAGCAGGGTGGCGCAGTTCTCCGAGCCCAGGTTCATCAGCAGAGTGCCGTAGTCCGCCCCGCTGACGGGGAGGAAGAGCACACGGTTGAGTTTGTGCAGAGAGTGGAAAAGACAAGGGATAGGAGACATACGGGACGAAGTTCTACCAAACAGTGGTAGACAATGAAGATCGGAGGTGAGGAAATGTGTTGAGTGCTTAAACTTAAAGTTTTAGCTATTAGTATTATTTTCATAGCCTTACAGACGAGAAATATACTGCAATTGAAGAACCTGCAAGTGATTCTTGCTTTGTGGCGCTCAGGGTGGAAATCCACTGTTGTGACTCTGAGCAGCTGGTTTAATTTAAGTCATTGATAAGGATGTCCAGCAGTTTCTAATACTGTTAGTGTTTCAGCTTGAACTGGAAACAATGTTTTCAAAGTCTAAAAGAAAACATTGAAAGTGTGAGCCAATGTTTGAAAAAAAGGACTTAAACAAAGTGCCAAGCTAATATCTGCGTTGTATGAATGTGTTAATAGGAATAAAGTTATTATCATTGTACCTGAGTGGCAAGGGCGTACACACAGGCTGGGAGAGGATCAAGGTGTCATGTGCCGAGAGCTGGGAGGGAAAAAACAAGTTCATAGAACAGATATTAAAACCAAAATGTAAGCATCGTAAAGTATGCATTAGAGGATTAGAGAAAACATGTCACCTGGACCAATATTCTTGGCCTTTGAGGGGAAGGAAATGACACATTGTGCATGAAGTGCGCGATGTGCCTGTTGAGAGAAATACACAAAATATGGCAAATTATCTTCAAACATAAGCAGCAACCAACTTCAGCCTTTCAAAACGACAGCTTCGTATGTTGCTTGGCATCAACATTCCCAACAAATGATACACTCATGTGAATAGTAGCAAAGCAGACTTTTACTTTTCGATAGGCAGATGGTGAGGGCCGGAGACGGACAGCTTGTAGAGGAACATCAAGAACTTGCGGAAGGACTCAAAGAAGGGCCAGCGGGAGAGCAGGCAGATGCACTTATTGCTGTTTACTGGCCGGTTGGGGATCACCTTCTTCTCCACCGTGGTGAGCAGGCCCAGCTGGATCTTCTGCTTCTCGCTTAACTGATCCAGCGGATGCGACTCGTAGAACTGGATGGCTGCTCCATACACCTGGATCCAGAGGTACAAAGTGACTTTGTGGCTGTATGGCCAGTTGAACCGATCTTGACTTTTTATTTTTTTGTTGATTTCATGTATTACAGTTTGCTTTCAGGCTCCTGCATCTCACCTTTTCACCAGACGAAATGGTCAAGACAAACGTGGAGAAGACGGGCAAAGGGTCACGCGTGTTCGGTGCCCAACACTCGATCTTGGCGCCCATGGGCAAACAAAACAGTGGGACAGACTCGGACAGAGGAAAAGACTCGTAGTCCTCTTCTGGGTAACGAAAGATGAGGCCTGGAGAACGGAGGGAGAAGCCGATTATTATGGCGTCATTTCCTCGCCAAGGTGAAACAAAAGGGGCTCTAACTAAAACAGGGGCTCAGTGTCTCTCAGGTCTGTTGTTAAGTACAATCCTCTAGTTTCGTTTTCAAGAAATAACTGCTGCGTCTCACAGTCTAAATTGTTGTTTAGGGAGACGTCGTTCGGACAAGAAACACATTCTTATGTGAACGTGCGCATACAGAAACAAGCCCTGGGCGTGGCAGGAAGAGCTGTTTGTCTGAGATGAATACACAGCCGCCTCACAGGAAAAAGGCCGCACCAAAAGATAAAGCCAGCGTGTGTGTCTGCAAAGTGTGTGTGTCGCCGCATTCATTGGAACATTGATTGTACGCGAGTTGTTCCAAAGGCCAAGCTGTTAAGGAAGCATTCGGTCAGTAAAAATGTCACAACAATTTAGATTCCAGATGCAATAAGGGCCTAAACATCTTTACCGCCACCTGTTATCAAAGAGGGCGTCTAGTTCCACTAATATTTGAGAACATTTGGGCGGCTTTATTCACTTCTCCATACTCTGTTATCTAAAGGACAAAAACAGCGCAACCAACATAATAGACATTGACGCCTGAGACTTCTACTCACCGGCTTTGTAACTGATGGAGTTGGACGCAGATACGGATTTCTTGTAACACAGGAACACGTTTGAGCCCCACTGAAAAAAAGGTTCAAAACACGGATGTGAATGAATCTGTCCTTTGTAAGTGCCACAGCGTAAGAACAAAGAAAGTCAAACTCACCATGCCACAGTTGAGGTTCTTGTCCACCTTGCAAAAGGTATGCGGCGGTATCTCCCCTTTACTCGTGACTATGACGCAGATGTCCGTCACGGCGAGGGAGTTCTGCGGCTGGACGGGCGGCGCCCGGCGCAAGGTGATGAAGATGCGCTGCGAGGTGGCCGAGCTGTTGTTGACGTTGGCGCAGCGGCCGTACGGCGTCGCCTGGATGACCTCGCAGCCCTGGATTAGACGCTCCTTTCCCTCGTACAGCACACTGACAAAACAGGAGGTTTAAGAATAAATAAAATGGAGGATGAAGGAAAACATACACACGGCAGCACAAAAGACACATGTCGGTGTATGAAAGACGGCAAGAAAGAAGGAAGACTTTAAAAGGTATATAATTGCCAGTCATTTCAGTGTGTTGCACCGGAAAAACAGAATAAATAACCGATGGTTTCTGCGTGTGGTCGGCACTGCCGACTCTATTCTTGAAGCCCGTCTTCAACGCGGTGTCGTGATTCAGACATATTTCACCAACTGACTCATTCAAATTCCAGACAGCGAGGGAAACTTTCATATCGAGCGCCTCTTATAATACGGCCTCAAGCGAGACCAGAGCTTTCGGTTGCAAAAATACGGATCCCTGCCAAAAACGTCGTGTAAAATCAGTCCTCTGCTTGCTTATGGCAAAGCTTAACGTTGCAATCAGTTACCTGCCCTGTTGGATATTTGTTTTTTGCATGGCTGCAGGGCGTCTGTGTCGGTACGCCCCATGCGCTCCCATCTGGACAACGCCAATTGGGAGGCCAAAAGGATTGACCCTCCCCCCCCCTCTTTTAAACCAAGACCATCCACAAATGCATCGCCGATATAGCAGTCCTAAAAAACTCCACTTGCTCTGAAAAGAGTGGAGGACAAACCCCGTAGAGGCCCGTCTTCAACGCTGGTTCCCAGCTAATGGCATCCTAATGGGCACAGTGAGTCATGGCGCTGCTCGGGGCCCGGGGCCCCGCTCTGCTGACTTCACTGACAGCGGAAGCAGCAGAAGGGGAGAATTAATAATTTACAGGTCCTCGCTTCAGTTATTCTTTCCGTGGACCAGCAGGTTGGGGTGGGGGGGGCAGGACAGGCGTCGGGAAGGCCTACGTGGCCAAAAATATTTACGGACCTTCGGTATTGTGGTTCCAGCGCCAGGAAGTGAACCGCACCACAGTGCATTAGATTGCGGTCTCGTTATAACGTCTTTGTTTGAGAGGACACACAAAAGTGAGAACTTGTGCGTCTGCGAGCAGCATTGCGCGACATCCACAAAGAAACATGACTTGACATACGATCTACTTTGCTGGTAAATTCTTTCATTCGTCTCCTTTGACTGGAAACTCCAGTTTAGTAGCGAGAGACGCACAAAAGAAAAGGCTTTGGAAAAAGATTAAGGTGTGTGTGTGTGTGGTAGAACTGCGCAGGCCTGTTGCATCATCGCTCTCACTGCAGACACGGAGCACTCGTGATGAAACGTGGCCAATGTTTTTTAATATGCTCCTCTGTGAATAAGTAAAGAGCAGTTGTAGCTTCGGGCTTCCTGGATTGGATGAAAGAAAAAACAGTTCCCCCCAAGCGCGATAAAAGAAAGCAGCACAACTGTATCAATGGAGAGGAGCCAAGAGGCGTGGCTGAGGTGGGGGGGGGTGAATGAAGTAGTCAACACACCTACTTCCTCCATCCTGACCCAGCGCTTTGTTACACCATCAAAGGTGAAACAAACTCGACAAACACTGCGAGGGGTGCGTAATACATCACGATAAGCCTTACAAAAGGTGGGAAGAGAAAACCAGGCCTAGAATAAACGTTCTGTGCAGCAGGGGGGGGGGGGTTACGAGGAACTGGGGTAACAACAAAACTGGTCTTCCCGTCCCTTGATGTCAACAAGTGGAGCGCGACGGAGGCGCAGCTCATTCCGATCTTTGCTCCTCAGGAGGAGGGGGGGGCAAACGCAAACGTTCCAGATGACAAACACCACGGCTCCAAACGAAAAAGCCGACTCCCCCCACGTCCATGAAAGGGGACTTCCCCCGACCCCTCTTGTAGCACAGGAACAGCTCGGGGCTCTTCAGGCTGCCGTGGTTGAGGTTGGCCGGCTGGCCGCTGTAGGTGGCGTCGATGCACGTGAAGCCCTCGGGCACCGCTTCCCCCGCCGACCTGTTGATGACGGCCAAGTCGGTGATGGGCGCCTTGGGCCCGCTGGACTTGGTCTCCGACAGGTCCTGCTCCAGCGGGGTGGATTTGTCCGTCAGCCCGGCCACCACAAAGTAGTCGGTCACGCGGTGGCCCTTGTCTTCGATCATGGCTGGGAGGAAATAGAGAAGTGAGATTCATTCAGAATTACAGTCTCACACACACAAGGCCTGGATAAAAGTATTCTTTTCTCAGCCCCGTACAGCCACATTCTACTGCTTATCACACTTGCCGTATGCCGGGCCAAGGAGCACGTGCGCGTCAACGTGCGCGGCAGTGACTGCTCCCACATCTCACCGTGGGATTACACATGCGAGCACACGGCATTCACTCCTGACGGCGTACATCGCCGCTGCTGAGCATGAAAAAAGCCGCGGTGGCTGCAGAGAGCCGTGGCAGAGCAGCCGGGCCTGGTGGAATGCTAAGAAACGCCACAGTGGGAATGAATCAGGCAGGCGCCAAAGTCTGTGAAACACGTGGTTTTCTAAAGGAAACGGGATTTACCAAACACACGGTTGGCTTTCTAGTTAATGCATGTGTCATGACCCCAAAGAGTTGACTCAGTTTTGCAATATGCAGAGTTTTCATTTTGCCATCCACGTGACAATGAAAAAGCCCTTTGCTTATCAAGCCCGGTCAAAGGCAGCAGAGAACAACTGCTTCTCTGAGGTGGAAAAAAAAAAAGCTCAAAAGCTGAACCGTTTTCTTCAAAAAGGGCCAACGCAGGAAGTTCAACTTTTCCAGTGGTGAGTCAGCTGTGGCGGGAGGGAGACGCCTCTTGGTACGGCAGCATCGCGCGCAGACAAGACGGTCATGACAAAAGATTAATTGTAGTTATTTCTCCATTTATTTCTCGGATTTTGAGCCGTCGTCAGGACCCCGAGCAGCAACAGGACAAGTCAGAATGAACGCAAGTGAAGCCGTTTGTCGGTGCACGGCAGCGTTTGGGGGGGGGCACCTGCTGGCCCGGTCGACAAACGTTCCACACAAACGGAAATCTTTCTGTAGACCCGGAGGCGCTTTTGGTGGCACCGTGTGTGAGAAAACAATTGTTCAATTCTCCGCCTGTATTTAAACTCTTATCTGACTGAGTGACGAATTAGCTTTTTGGTTAGAAACCTGGCATTGTTCCCATGTGAACGTGCCAAAATGGATTTGTTTCAAGCGTGCTGCCGGCCTTAAGATTCAAGGTAGCTTTGAAGAATTACAGCTGGATATTTGCCCGGAATGCGGCTCATTTTTTCCCCCTTTCCTTTTTCAAAACAATATCTGGAAATCAAAGAGCAACTTTAGGAACGCAAGCCTCGAGTGGGGCAAAACAACATCGGTTCATGACACAACCGAGGGGAGATGGATTAACACACTTCTGAGAGGCTCGGCCACCGAAGAGATGAAGCGGAAACATAAAATGGGATCAGTTGTGCAGTTTTCAGTTATTTAAGTAGTCATCCAAAGTAGCATATTTACTCTGAGGAATGTCACGGAAAAGTATTTGTTCTCGTAAGTAAGATTAGTCAAAAGTCCAAAATGACTCCAGATGTTTTGTTATTTCGGGCTTAATGAATGATGTTGGTCCCACTCCTTTTAAAAGCAGGCTGGATCAAGCTCTTATTTCATGAGGATGCACAACAGCAATCTGAGGACGTGGAACGGTTCTGAGACTTCGGGTTCAGGACAGAGATGTGCTGCTATGTCTCCATGGTTACGGCTCACCAGTCAAAACCCGGAATTCCGGACGTTTGGCTTCACGATGAGCTACACTGTTAAATGGGTTCTCACCAAAGGTTGGCCAGTAAATTAACTGTCATGATCGCTTGCGTTCACGGCTAAAACTAAACCAAACACTGTTCCACCGGAGCCTGAATGAGGTAGTTCCTCAATGGCATTGCAGCTTCGCTTCGAGTTTTTAAGATTCCTCAAATGTGGTTTTTGGTGCAGATGTTAGGCGTGGAATATGGTCCCACGTGTAATACAGTACCACAAAAGAGTCCACAAAGCGGCAGAAGAGCTGAAATGTGTGTAAGTAGAAGGCCTCTCAGGCAGTGCTTTGCACCTGTCGTTCACTCGCAACATTTTCTCAAAATAATACCGTAGGGTGCAGTACCTGCAGAGTCCCACGACACGGGCGGGCCGATCAGCATATAAACTAACAAGTGACACCCCAAAGTTGATAATGAAAAATGAGTCAGCAAATAATCTGTTGTACAGACACCCAGCAGACGTGTTGCAACACCAGCTCCTTCCTGGAGTCAGGCGTCTCCCCACTTGACAAACACAAGACCAATATTCACTCTGTTTGCTCTGTTTTTGGTCTCCACCGATGCTATTTCCCCATCAGCTAGTCACTAAGTTTGCTACAGTACCATCTGTGCTGCGATAAAGCGTAATATATTACATCGTATGACCCCAGTAGTCATTTACCTGGTTGTTTTTTTTAATGAAAAACTTACATTTTAATCTTTGTCACAAACATTAGCCTCTACCATTAATCTGCTCTGAAATGGTCACGCTGGTATAACAGCATTGAGGCACATAGCTTTCCAAAAGCATTGACTCAGATCACCACAAAGTGTCAGAAGGGAACAAAGACGGCTGCAGAGGGAAAAAAAACTATTTGGTCTCGATTAAGCTTTAAATGCCGGCCTATAAACGTCCAGCACGCCGGTGAATGGAAATGCACAAAATACCACCAGCAATACTAAAATGACTAATTATGTTGGCCAGTGTTTGGTGTGGACACAATCTAAAGCCTGGAACACTACAACACACCTGACCACACACATTCACACAAATATCTCTTTGTGACAGCCCGCTGCCATGGCAACTGAACCACTACAATGGCCCGCTGAGAGACCCCGAGCTGCGACCGGTGTTCCTCCAGCTGAGGAAACTGAGTCTATCAAGGGTACGTCGAGTACAGCTGACGGGTTCTCTGCAGCCCGCTAAAAACGGCGGAGGCGGCTGTTTTTTATTGTGCGAAAATGTCAGACGAGCAAATAAAAACAGGACAGTGGCCATAAACGGGGGTTGGCGCCGACAGCGGATTAGACTAAAAGCTTTAGAAGCCATCATGAAAGTGAACATAACATTACGGATTTTCCACCCTTCTTGTTCCTCACTTGTGACGGCATGCAAGGGTGTAAGACATTTAGCAACCTTGACGCACACATGGGGAGGCTACCCGGGACCAATTGTATTAAAAAAAAAAAAAGGACCAAGTCAAGCAGGCAGGCAAACTGGTGCGTAACGCTTTAGTACACAGTATTAAGTCTTGTGTTGAAACTCGAGCCTCTGCTCCTCCCTCCCTCCCCCCCCATGAGAAAACCTGTTGCTCTGCTCCTCCTGAGCCTCGGCGATCGGGTGTCACGCGCTTTGTCCGGGCCGCGCTCGGGCAGAGGTAGTCGCTACAGCCAAAATACAACGCAGCCGAAGAGGGCGCCTCACAAACCGGCCTCTGACTGCCGCGTAGCTAAGAATGCCTAAAAATACATTTACTCAGAGTTTATCGCTAGAATAAGCACACACTAGGCCTGACATACTGTGATCATTGTACGTGATTTTTACATCAACGTAATAACAACCATTAATATTTATTGCATAATAGAAGGGAAGACTTCATCCAAAGTGCCCACCTGTGGCTCAAACCTCGGCCTTAACGATTGGCGCACTTTGAAATCTGGGCGCTTCTTAGAAATATGACTGAGATTTTAAAAAAAACTATGCGTTGTTGGGTAAAACCCTTCATTCAGAGTGTGTTGGCACCATGTTCACCAAAAACTGACACGGCGGAATAAATAGTACTTTGGTACGTGATCTCAAAAGGAAATGATATGAAGAGGGCACAAGATTCGGAGAAGCAGACACGGCCTCCGGGCAGCTAACAAGACTCCTCTTGTAAACAAAAAGTATTCAGTTCATGTAGGGATTCTTTTTCAGTCTTCTGAGACTAAAAATCAACATCAACTGCAAAGCTCTCCTTTGCCATTTTTACCAGATGTGCCAAACAGAAGAAAGTGTTTTTTTTTATTTATTTAGGGATCCCTTTTCTGGGATCACAGTGCAGGGAGGCCTGTCCCCCTTTTTCTAAGACAAGGAAACCCAACTGAGGAGGGTGTGCTGGAGCACAAGGAGATGCAATGAATAGCAACAGCCCACTCTTAAAGAACTGAGGAACTAGAAGTACAGGAGGAATATATTACCATTTCAAATTAGCAAGACCAGACGAGAAAGTAACCCGGGAAGCACCGATCGCCTGAGGAGAATCTGCAGAGATTACAGGTGGTTTAGCTTTTTGGTCAAATGAAAAAAAGAGAGGATCCGACTATCCAAATAATAACCGGTGGTCAACCCAGTTGGAAAGTACTGAGCGGGATTGTTCCTCCGGTCCCCCCAAAATTTCACAGCCCTGGAAAAACTTGTTCTTTTCTACGGCGGCACGAGTCTCAACTTGCCCCCCGACCGGCTATGCAGCCCATCCCGGGGCTCCCGGGGGCAGAGAGGAAAACTCCCTCTGCCTCCATATATAAAGCTGGGGAGGCCCTGCTCTACATGTGCGCGTGTGTGTGTGTGTGTGTGCGCGCTTACTTTCAGCACTTGTATGGTGTTAACGGCGTTCACCTGGCCGGCCCCTTAATTTCCGAGGGTACCAAGTTCAAAGAGTGACAGAGGACATAGAAAGAGATATTCCTCTATTTAGGGACGCAGAGTGGCACCCCGGCCTCCACCCCCCCACGGTCTGCCCCACAAATGATCTCATCCCTCTCGCACAAAAGAGCCGAGAGGCTTGTTCCCCAGGGGGGGAAAGAGCCTGCGTATGTATGTGTGTGTGTGCAACGCTGGACGACACACAGTGCCGTGTCTGTCCCGGATATTTCAGCAGATCCACTCACGGCTCGACTGAAACGGCAGCTGAGCACGACACGCGCGCACGACTGTCATGCGCTGAACCTTGGACGCTGCAAAATGAGAAGAAAACGCAGTGTTTACAGAGCGTGTAGAGAATGCAGTAATTATGCTAGGGAGTAGGAGGGGGGGGGGGGGGGGGACTCTTGGTTATAAATAGGACCGGCTGCGCCAACCTCTCCATTGTGACGAGTCTGCGAGAAAAAGTAGTCGTGGCAACCAGACGCACAAAATAGTCAGAGGCTGGTGGCTTCTGCAGAAAGCTCCTTTGGCGCCGCGCGTGAGCCTCAAGTGCCTCAAGCAAAGTGTTCCTCCCCGCCACCTGTCAGCGCGGCGAGCCGCTGGCGGTGAAAGGCCGGGGGCAACGTGCAAGGTGCCAACGAGCTGACGAAACCTCCTTTTGCTTGGGCCCTTTGTCTGGGTTTGAGAGGGAGAGGAGCTCAAACTGAAGCCTGCTGATGTTGAGTTGTGTTCACGTCAATGTACGGCATGTGTGTGTGTGCGCACATAGTTGGCGGCTAAATTCGCCTATAAATACATCTACGTGCTTGATGACAACGGCGTGCTGCGACGGGCAGAATGAGCCACAATCGGCATCAACATGCTCAAGCGCACTTGATACAAAATGAGGTAGACGTATTTAACTGATCAATATTTGCTGTTCAGAGAGTGTGTATGTGTGTGTTTTTTTGGGGGGTGGGGCGGGGTTTAGATACGTCTGTGATCGTCTGGCACAATAATATACAGATGCTAACAATCTCCCTCTCTCTCAGAAAGGTTGAACTTAGTTCCACGGCGTCAACACATAAAAAAAAAAAATCCGGTTTTATTTCGGGAATCACGATCGACGTCAACGCACTTCTCAGAATCGGCATCCAACCACCAAAACACACAGATAATGTTAACTGATGTTTTTGGACTTTGCTTTCAGGCTAAACACTTAATTGCCGTTTTTTCAAGTGTATCTTGGTATAAAACATTTATAGTTGTGTATTGGTTAGTCTGACATTTTTAGTAAACATACAGTCAAAAAAGGTCCAATTTAAGTGATTTTCTTTTCCATTCTCGAAGCTGTAACCAGCAGGTCAGATAAAAATAATCCTCAAACCTTTCCTTCATTAACTAACCAAACACCAAAACAGTCATCCCCTAAAGCCCCCCCTGCAGAAGGCCCTTGTTGTTCCCCTTTTAGTCATTTATCCCGGTAAATCCGTCACTGCAGCGGCTCTGGATTTAGTTTCACGTTTGGTCGAGAGAAGCACAGTTACTGGTGACTGACTGGAGCAAACCATTCCACTTGATTTACGCCCTTGGGCACTGGGGGGGGGGTCTGTTGTTACGGTCCACAAAGACCTGAAACCACAATTTACGAGACAGGTGTGGGGGACTCGGTGCGGTAGAAAAACGTCACAAGACTGCCTGCACCACCGCCCCCCTCCTCCTCCTCCTCCTCCTCCTCCTCCTCCTCCTCCTGGAGTGCGATGGCCCGGCAGACACAGAGCATTCTTTCCGCTCTGAGGAGACGGGAGAAAGAAGAAAAAAAAAGAAGGGGGGGGCCGGGGGGGTGCAAACCCGTTGCTCTCGGCCTGTTGAAGGAAGACGAGTCAGACACGAACTGGCACATCGCGCCGCCGCGGTGCAAAGGGCCGGAGGAGGGCCGACGCCACCATTCAACAGTGGAAGAAGTTGTAGGTTGTTTGAACGTGACGCTGGGAAAGGAGCAGAAGTGTCACTTCAAAGTGCAGCTGAGGAATTGACCCACGGGGGGGGGGTCATCTGTGAAGGGGGGGGCTGCTCGCACAAATTCAGTCCCAAGTGAGGAAAGGGAACGACTGCGTGAGCTCTAAAAGCCGATGTCGGAGTAGTCAAATGTTGTGGGACGAGCTGGAAGCAGGTTTATTTTTACCTTGTTGTTAACAAGGTAAAAAAAAAAAGGACTGTATCCATAAAAATAATCAATGTAATATATTTAAGTGCGGCCTGAATTTCAACTATCCGTTCAAGGTTAAAGTGAAAGTGGTAAAAACTTACAAAATAAGTTACAAATTTATTTTAAGTTGCAACGCCAGCGGAAGGAAAGCCATGGTGATAAATTGACATTCAAGTGTCACCTGTAGTGAAAGTCCAGCTTGAGGTGTTAGTTCACCCACGTTACTGGAAAGACCTTTTCAGAAACATCCACACTAGTGGCTCTTTAGTAAACACTCCTCTCACTGAATCAAATTTGAACTTTTATTTAGTGCAAGCGCCACGTCCTTCAATGGCCCGCCGCTAATTCTCTTCAGCCCCCCCCCCCCCCCAGTCAGCTGACCGAGTGTTTTGGGGACGCCCCCCATGCAGGTTTCAACGCACACAAGGCAAAAGCCGTGACCTACTTTCGTTGCTGCTGCCGCCGCCTGGAGCGGTTATCAGGAGGCCGCACTCGCTCCACTCCCTTGATCCGGCCGCCGGTAGGCCGAGCCGAGGCCAAGGTCGAGGAAGGCGTTCTTCCCCCCTCTGCTGCGCTTCCACGCCTGTCAGCCACTCGCCGCCGAGGCCTTTAAAGCAACGGCAAATTCCCGGCGTTCACTTCCTCCGGCCATCCGAGGTGGTAAAGGGCAAATGTCCGCATGAATGGTACGAGAGGAAGTGGCTTTCTAGGGCAGTTGCTGAGAGGGGAGGAAGGGGGGCCCGGGACCGTCTCTCGCTTAAAAAACAAACAAACAAGGGACATCACATGCACGCCGCGAATCACTGAAAAACGGGATGGAAGCTGCAAGGCTGCCACGCTGGTCAAATGCTGAGGGGGAGACACGCGAGCACCCGAGCAATGTGTTTCAATGGCATTCTGTGCTCATCCAACAGGGACCACAACACCAACAGGGGCCCTCTAACAACTGTGTGTCCTGGGTGAAGGGTCACACCAGTGCAGACATGGCATAAAGAGAGAGAGAGAGAGAGAGACATCGCCCTTTCTCTCAGGGTGTAGTTGTGATCCGTTTCCACCTGCAAAAAAACAATTGTGTGTCTCATGCAGGAAGTGCACGTTTGTAAAAGCGGGCAGACACCTGCAGAGCCGGGGTCCGGTTATCTGGAGCCGAGGAGGGCCCCAGGAGGAGAGGGGTTGGTCGGTCGGTAGGTAGGTGTTACACCCCTCCCCCACTACCAACAACTGTTGCATCCGAACCAATAATCGGGTCGACTTTCACGCAAGTGATATAACAGAATAAATGTCCCGGTGCGCGGTGAGACGTGGCCGCCTCGCTTTGCGCGGCACACGGCGAAAGGTGTCGAGGCGGACCGACAACAGGGGGGGCAACGAAGACTATTTTCACCGGGCGGGACGTCGCTTAAGCACGGCTTAAATAGTTACCCGTTCACGTCTTGTTCTCACGGCAAACTCCGCCAGGTGTGCGCTCTCTGCGGGTGTAGTAAATACGGGCACTTACCAGCTGTTTACACTGCAGCGAGGGACAATGTTGACATGTAGACGACTTTGCTGTTTGTGCCCGCTGGATGTAATTCCGTGTTTATACTTCTGCAAACCAGTCGAAGCTGGACGGCGGGCCGAGAAAAGGAAAGAAAAAAGTAAAACAGGCACTTCGAAGTAGTCCTTAAAAACTTAGCTGCTCCACTTCTTCGCCACACGTTCATGTGAAGTTGTCGGCGGAGGCGGGCGCCATGTTTGAGACTGCGCTGATAGTTCGGTCCGTGTGCTTTCTTCCTACACGTCTCTCGGGCAGGACCCGCCCACAGAGGAGAGGCCGCTTCCAGCTCAGTGCCTGCTGCGGCTGACAGGGGCCGACGTCAAGCCCGCACACGCAGCAAGCAGCAGTTTCCGGTTGGCGTTTTCAGAATAAAGTAGGTATTTTTATTTTGTCAATAAATAATCAACGGTTAGTTATAATATGGTCATTATGATTGGTAGAGGCCCTTTACTTAATAGAATTGCAACATTTATATATTATATATTTTATTGTTCGTACTATGAATTATAGTTCATTAATAAATATGTAAAATATTTTTTTATCTACTAAAACATTTGTAATTTAAAATTATATAATCAAATTAGAAGCGATGCATATGCTGAAAGCCTAATAAAATCTCGGTACGACCTATAATAAGCAGCAATTCTACATACATTTGCACAAATCATGGATTAAGTCATAGTGTTGCAATGCATATGTGTGTCTAGCAATTTATTTTCCTTTGTGTTATATCAATTCACAAGTTCTTTCTGCCATCACATGAATTTCCCCTTCTGGCAATAAAGTGATCTACACTGCAGAGATTCCATCCTGTCACAGGCAACACACCGGTTGGAACGAGACTGGTTTTCAAGGATCATGATTTAGTGACCAATTTGTCATTTGTTTTTCAAAATAAATACTTTTCACCAATTCAAATAAGGTTAGATGTGTATTGCATATTTCATACCCTAAATCTATTCTCTTCCAACAAAGCAACATTTTGTATTGAAGTTTAGATGGTTTCACATACTAGTTTTGATAGCTTTTGAGACACCATCTGCACGTTTAAGTAATGACATTTTTTGCAACCATCCTAAAAGTGCAATCAAAAGACTACTTTGTAAAGATTCAAACCCTTACAGTGACTTAATATTTTCAATGTACAAGCAGATCCCTGAAATAAAAACTAGTTCTGGTTCCTCTCCTCAAACATAACAATGAAAATTTCCTTTTATTAAATCAGTTAATGTTTATTTTAAATAAACTAGCATGAAAAAGGTTATTTTACAGCTATGAACAAATATTACATTATTAAATTCAGTGGTGACACCAAAAAGTGGTTTTAACATGAATGCAGTCAACACTTTAAGTCATCTATCGGGGAGAATGTGATCAGTTTTGGGAGGCTGTACTCCTGCTTCCTGGGGGGAGACGGCGTCTGCAGCGCGTCCAGGTCCAGTGAGAACACAGAGTCCGTGGCGTCCACTGACTTGGCGGGCGCCGTCGGCCAGTCTCTCCCTTCTGTCGGGTCGCGCTTTTCTCCGTTAACATCCGGTGTCCTCGTCCTGCTTTCCACTGAGGAGCCATTTCCGCACCCCCGCTGGCTCGGAGCCAGGTGATGACGCATGGTCAGCGGCGGCTCCTCACTCTTCAGGAAGGACAACAGGAGCTCCTCGTCGTCGTCCTCACTCTTCATGTCCACCGCTTCGTCGTCGAGGCTCAGCAGACTGTCATAGCTCGGCATTTCAGGGAGAGTTTCCTGGTCGAGGCTGAACTGGACGGCGCTGCTGCCCGTCCCACTTGGGCTGTCGAGCGCCTCCGCGTTGAAGGTGTCCCAAAACAGACTGGACTTGGAGGAGACGCCCTGCTCGTTGACTGGAGAGAGCAACCCCTTCACGCTACAGTTCAACTTTCCCAATCGCCCGCTTTTCTCTGCTTCATCTTCCTCAACGGCCTTTCGCCAGGAGGTCTTCACATCCAGAACTGAAGAAAAGAAAAGAAAAGGCTTTATGACACTACATTCTTAATGAATGACGTTCTAAATAACTGATGATTGGTCAGTCCCGCTTGCCCAGAATTTCACTCTTCTTAAAAATAATAAAAAGGAAAAAAATGCTTCAGCTCAGAACTCACTCAAGCTCTCCGGTGTACGTGTCAGCTGCTTTCTAGTAGAGAAGGGATCTCCATGAAGAGTGCCTAGAAGGCCGTCCAAGTCCAAACCCGTCGCTCGGCCTTCTGGAGGACTGGTTGTGGTTACAGCATCTGCAAACTATTATGCACACTTTGTTCAGGACTGTCGCTATAAAGTTCTAGCCCCATAGACGAATCTTACAAAAATATGAAAAAGGGCATTAAAAAAAAATAATTAATACTCTCCACCTCTATTAAATGATACAACCAGAAAAAAAGACAGTACTTATAACATCATATATTTCAGCCTTTAAAAATTGCCATTGGATTAAAAGACAATACCTGATCAGCGAGGTTATCACATTCCATGTCTAATATATTAGCCCTCCTATCTGGAGTCTTTGTCCTCTTTGTTGCCACCTTCTGGTGAAAATGGCCGGTCTTCCTCACACTGGCCTAAAATAAAAAAGAACCCCAGCTTTGTTAAATATTGTTTAACACTCATTATTGAAGCTTAACGCTACACCGATCAGGTAAATACAAACACTGGCCTGAGGGGGTTGTACGGACGGAGCCCTCAGTGGAGGGGAGGGAGGTGTGTCAAAGAGCCAGTCGAGAGAGCTATTCGCTTGTGATGAAACACGAGCAGCGACTGCAGGACTTTCACTCCTCACAGCTGTTGCCGGGCCGGAGCTGTTTTCAAAAGACAAAAACATGGATTTCTTATTTAAAAACCAACACAGTGCACACTGACTCACATCAATATGTACTTTACCAATTACATTCCCCTCACAATGAGGCCACCGCCCTGCACGCGTCTTCAAGTTGACCGATGAATGGATGGTGAGGCGTGTGTTTTTTTTTTTTTTATACTTTTAGTGTATACAATGACCCTGACAAGTGTACTGGTTGAAAGCACTTATTGTAAGTCGCTTTGGATGAAAGCGTCAGCTAAATGACATGTAATGTACGTGCTTATACAATCAACATTTCATTATCAGATTGAGGTCGTTACTTCCAGTACCTTGCTCCCTCTGTATTTAAGCTCAGTTATTCATGTGTTTTTTGTTCTCATTCATACAATTAAAGTCATGGAGAAATAAAGTGTCTGCTCCGTATCTGTCCGTGGCAATTTCTCTCAGTTCGCCTCGGTCATCAGAGAGCAGGGATGCTGTAGGGAGGACTAGTGACGGACAGAGCACTACTCAGGACTGCCCAGGTATCTGCCTCCCAGCATAAGCAAACAATGCCTTCAAATACTAAACAGTGAAACAGAAAACGCTGACATAAGCTTACTTCCCCCTTAAGGGGTGCATTACATTACCTCTTAAGGTTAGTAGAGCTCGGGGTGGGGGCCTCTGGTGATTTACTTTCTGCAGGCTTATCTGAAAAATGATAAGCATGATTATATATACAAAAATAAAAAACATTGTGATAGGCGAAAATGAATACATGCCCAATACGTGTATAATCAGAATGAGCGTACCAAGAAGCGTTGCAGGGTACTGGGAGAAGACCCCACATCTGTAGCTAGTGTCAGCTGCCGGTTCAAAAGACAGTGGCGCCATTGGGGAGAGGAAGCAGAGAGTCTAAACCCGGCCAATGAAAAACAGACATGGAACTCTAGTGAAATGCCTTCTGGGTATAGGATTGCCACTTTAAAGTACATGGATTATACAGTTACACTAGAAAATCTAAAAAGGCCACTCACAGGATCGTCATTCAGGAAAGAGACTAGGGGGGTGTCTCTCAGAGTATCCATCCACTTCCTGTCCCACGCAGCTTCCAACTCTTTGATGGTAGTCCTGACCTCAGGAATTTCTTCCTTGGAAATCCTCTGTCTTGGAAAAACATATGCGGTTAATACGCTGGATCTAAACTCATCTCTACTACAGTTAACAAAAATACTATTTAGATGCTTCTTCCCCATGATTACCATCAACAGTCACGGTTTCCATAACAAAGTCAGATTTATAAATACACATATTGACCTCAGTAACCTTCAAATAAAAGATGCACTTTTGAGAATCCAGCATTTCTATTTGATATCAAGTTCTATACAACCAAGCAAAGTTGAGCATCCTGTCCATGTAGTGAGGGTCAATGAATACCTGATGAGGTGAAGGTTCTGCAGCGCACGGGCCATCTGCTGACATCTCTCCTGCAGTTGCTGAGGCCGGACTTCAGGCTTTGGGGCACGAGAGACCCGAACATGCTCCTCCCTCAGCAGCTGCAGCGCATGGTTCGTCAGCTCCAGCACACACAGGAGGTTCAGCTGGCCGCCCTCGTACAAATGCCCTGAACTCAACTGGAAAACAGCCACAAGCAAACCAAAACGACAGTGAGACTAGTCAAAGGGATGCTTTATGGATTGACATGGCTGGACTGAAGATGGTTGGTTTGACATCTTCTTTAGGGATGTTTCAGTTTGTCTAAATTTAACTTAAATTGTCAAGCGCTCTCGTTGCTGAGAAATAGCATTCTGCAATCCAAACAAAACATTGAGGACTAAACCAGCAGTATAATGACAAGTAAAAGTTGAGCGGACCCATATCATCATTCCTACCTGATGCGGGAGCTGTTCAATTCTCTCCAGCAGACTGCGAGGAATTTGCAGGACTCGATCCGTCCCGTCCAGCTTGTATTGGTCTACATCACCCTTCAAAACGCTCTCCACAATATGCTGCTCCTCTTTGTTAGTCGACAGCATTCCATCGATGTCTGACCACAAGGAGCGCACCTGAAGACAACCAAGTTCTTCTGTAAGCTCCAGGGAAAATAAAAACATGTTTAGGGAGTTTTTTTACAAACACTACATACCCTGTTGGTCTTCTCAGCTAAAGAAACCCCATCCTGCTTCCAATCACTGTGGTGGCGCCTGAAAGTACAAAGACAGATTGAGCTACTGGATTCAGTCATAAGCACTATGAGGGGAGGGGGAAAGAAAATGAATACGTACTTGAGTAGCTCATCATACTTGGCACCCTCTGCTCTTATTTCCCTCATGGACTTTACCAGCACCCTTCAAAAAAAAAGGGGAAAACCGCTTTGATTTGAGACAACTGATTGGAAACAGCCTCATAAGAGGAGGGAGATGTGTCAAAAGAACCAGCTGAGAGACCACAAATCTACTGTACATGCTTATACAACAACATTTCATAATCAGACTGAGGTTGTTACTTTCATTAAGTTGTCCCCTCAGCTCAAAAAGCTGCATTAAAGCGGAGCTATGAATCATGTAGAATTAAAGATTGTCTGCTCCGTATCTGTCCGTGGCGATTTCTCTCAGTTCGCCTCGGTCATCAGAGAGCAGGGATGCTGTAGGGAGGACTAGTGGCGGACAGAACTACTCAGGAGTGCCCAGGTATCTGCCTCCCAGCATAAGAAAATACAATAATCCTTTCAAATACTAAACAGTGAAACATAAAACAGACGTACGCTTACGTTCCTCTACACGTCTAGAATCTTCAACACAGTGCACATTTTAAGAGACCTTTTCCCAGCAGAAAAAGAGCACAGGTCTAACTCATGACATGGCTGAACTGGATGGCTGAACTTCATGTTGCTAACAAAATTGGTTTCAGCTTTGATTTTCCAGGCGACTGATTGCAAACACCTTCAGGCGGCCTCATTAGCTAGTAATTAGATCACACAGAAAACAGGTGTCTCTTGAAACAAGTAGCCAATGAAAGATGGAACATCAACTGAAGAAAAAGAACCAGCACAATAAACTGCAAGAAGAAGTAATATATTGAAAACAATGACAAAAAAAGCCATTAAATGTGTCTCACGTATTCACAAACTATTTAATGGAGCGTTTATATCTTCTCTAAGTTATTCAGTTAGTTTTATATAAAAACTGAAATGAATTTTCTCTTTAAAAGCTTTTTTTTATTGAGCAAGACAGAGACATTTAACGTCATAACCTCTGCTGATTTACTGTGGTGGTAAGATATAAGGCTTCCATCTACATAAATGATCTATTTCGATCCAGTTGCCAATACAGACCACCAAGGACTCACTGTGCTCGTCTCTGGTAGTCTCGTAGAAAACGATCCTGAGCAACTGCGGCTTTCAGAAACCTGGTATGGATCAGGTTGTGCCTCTTCGTTGCCATGTCTAAGGAGGAAGCAGGCATCGCCGCAGCCTCAGGAACCCAGCTTTTATCTGAAAGTGACAATATACAAGATGATGTGACAGATAAAAAGATTGACATATTCAAAGCTGCTGGTAGTATTCAAACTACACCTACCTGCGGTGAATGTCTTCATTTTTTGCAGCATGACATGATTGGCCAAGCGAAGCATCACATTGATGAACTTGGGGCCACCGGGTGAGAGGAACACGGATGCTACCACTTTGGATCCTGCATTTTCAGTTTCATCCTACACAGTTAAAAATGGGTCCTTGTTACAAACTAAAGTATAGTCACGCAAAAAGAAAATATCTACAAACAAAGGTTTACTTCTACTGCAGAGAACCATGCATGTCCCTCGCATGTTGTACAAAAAAAACGTGATCAAGATTTATGTGTGTAAGGAGAAGGAGAGACATCGGTGAAAGGAAAACCGGGGAACAAAGGAAACAAAGATGTACAGGATTTCTCATTTGCGAGGATATAAATGGGGTGTTTAAATGGTCCATAAAATGTGGGCAAATTGTAAAATGGACAGCGGTGTAACACTGAAATGCTCACCATTATTTCTCGCAGCCAAGCGCAGGTAACTTTGCGGAAGTCAGCATCCACTTTATGGCTCAAAACAGGCCAGCAGTGCCTAAACCCCACCCAAAAAACACGTTTCATTTTAGACAATACAATAACAGGAAATTCTATATGGATTGTGGATTATTTACCTGTATTCCTCATGAAAACGTGTCGGGTTGAGTCTCTCCAACAGGAAATGGGTCACTATGTAGAAGGCATCCTTGTTTGGTTTGTCGAACATATTCCTGCAGGCCATGCAACGAGATACATTAGCAAACATTTACCTTTTATATGACGCTGTGTTGTTGTGCTAACTTTATCCACAAAAACAAGTTGACTCACGGTCCCAGGTTAATGTGTTTAACGTTGCTGGTTTTGCCACCCATTAACTGCACTTCAGCGTCTGGTTGAAATCCAAGCCCAAGAAGAGAAAACCACAGGTATCGTCCATTCTTTTTCTGCAACAACACCGGGTTTGCCATTTTTAGGCAATGTGGGAAGATGCACTGGCGACTGGTAAAAAAAAATACAGCCTTTCACATATGAAAAAGCCAGTCAGCTAGCTAGCTTAAGTTGCTACCTAAAAAGTTCACTGTTGGCTAACTTGCGCTAGCTTTCGAACTGGTTTCGAGTTCGTCCACATAACAAACATTTAAAAATGTGTTCGCGAATCCACAAACACCACCGAGGAAAGTCACTAGTGGTATATGAGAAGGTCCGGATACTTTACGCTCGATTTCATACGTGTTAAGTTATATTTCCCAGTTTGGTCGGAAGACGAAAGCGTAACAACGAACACAAACCGCCAATTTTTTTTCCAATAATGACCCGGATGTTGTTAACTATTACTTCCGGGTTAACATTCTGTTACACATTTGGTCAATTAGGTTTTATCGTAGCATTATGGCCTCAGACTAATTAATGTTAAAAATTATGTTTTTAAATACGAAATGTAACCAACTGCTGCTGTTGGAACATCTTCTAGGTAAGGCAATCGAATCAATGTCAGCAAACATCACAGTTTTAGTTATTGCAAAACAATTAAGGTATCAAAGTACATATTTTGCAGTAAAATATTGATTATGTATTCCAACTTGAATTTTTTTTATTTTTTTTACCCTCACATGCACTTTAGTATAATATTTCAAACAAACAATATGATATGTATATGTCAGTCGTTTCGTCTGCTTGAGTGGCAATAAAAATCCAAGCTCTTTACCAAGCTCTCCAGACCGCCATCCACCTTTTCATACTAGCCTTGATGAGAACGAACAAAGTTAATGCAAAACTAATGTTGCCGAGGCTGAGTCTATTTAAAGATGCTGATTGGCTAAATTGTATGTCACACGTTTTTTTTAAATTTCATCAGCAATTGTCTGAAGTGCTTCTTAGACCAGCCTTCTGTGGGCAATCATGATATTGCCCCAAGCGCCGACGTACAGAAAAAGCATATATTTTCCGCAGATATAATATTTTACAAATATAACTGTGTACATTGCAAATTTCAATAACACAAATATTGACTTTTTTATCATTTAATATTATCCTTTGTTTTCTTTTTTACTTGGTTCAAGAAGGGGTGCTCCAGGTCAGCTGTATATATATATATATATATATATATATATATATATATATATATATATATATCTCGATACGGGCTTGATTCAAATTGTCCAATTGTAAAAAAAATGACTGCTCATCTTGGCAAAATATACATTTTGTAGTTTAGATTTGTTTGTTCATTATCACATATTTTTATAGTCTATTGGTATTTGGTTGACATGCTACCAAACTGATGAACAACAGCCTCTGCTGTTGAAGTCACTCACAATGCACTTTTGCAGCCGGGCACATTTTTATTCTGTGTCATTTAGAGGGAAATGCGTCCATTTTAGCATTTGAGTCACTCTACAAAAGTTGTAAAAAATATATTTTTAAAAAGCTAAATTTGTTGCTGAGTGCTGTTTGAAAAAAAAGTTGCCACAGTAGTCGTAAAAGTTGCTGTATCTAGCAAAAAGGTGGTAAATCGCAACAGTGTTTGTCGCTACACAGTGACGTCACTAACATGCGTCTCCCGTCGCATGATAAATACGTTGCTCAGTGAAAATGGTCGGATTCCATGAACACCGCGGTTGTCTCTTCCCAACTCCTCATAAATTCTCCTAACCATCTTTCCTTAACCCAGTGACGTTTTCCACAGAGGTCACGAACCGGTGTTTAGGAATAGACGTTAGGAGGGAATTTTTTGACAATTCAAACGCTGCCATGCATTTCCGTTCTCTCCCGCTGTGCATGTCTCTGCAGCGCTGGCTCTAAGGGCAGGGATTACCTACAGGAGGCGGGTCTGTTAGGACGTTTGGCCTATTGGTAATTAAAGATAAAATCATGTGACATAAAATAAAGCCAATCAGAGTCCTCAAATAGAACCAGCAAAGGGCCAAAGTTGTCGTGCCCTAGACGTCTCCACAAACTCCATTTGAACAACATGACTATGGCGAGTGCTAGCGTCACTCCCCCGACAGCGAACCGCAACTCGGTAAAATCTCTCCTCCAGGAGCCGTTTGCGCGGAGAACTATGGCGGACAAATTACTGGTAAAAGAGCTGGGCCCCGATCGACCTCAACTCACAATAAGACAGATTACTGGCGTCAAGGGGAAGTTGCTCAAGCGGAGCTTCTCCAGTGACTGGTACAGCAGGAAGACCTGGCTCGCTGGATGCGCCCACGCGAACGCCCTATTCTGCTTCCCCTGCCTGCTTTTTAAAGGACCGGGGACGGATCTCTCGTGGACGGGCGCGGGAGTGCAGGACATGAAGCACCTCTCCGAAAAAATAAGGAAACACGAGTGCACCGTGCTACACATGAGCAACGCCGTGAAGCTCGCCGTCCTGGGCGGAGCGACCATCGCCACCCAGCTGGACGACGGGCACCGGGCCGCGGTGAGGAAACACAACGAGGAGGTGGACAAAAACCGGCGCACTTTATCCAAGATAATCGATTGCGTAAAGTACTGCGGGGCTTTTGAGTTGGCCCTGCGCGCGCGCGAAGAGACCGACCCGGACAACCCGGCGGGCATCTTTAGGGGACTGGACTTCGTTGCGTCCCTGGACGGCGTGCTGGAGGAGCACCTCAAGACGGCCAGCGCCTTCAAAGGCATGTCGAAGACGGAACAGAACGAGCTGCTGGAGTGCATGCTGTCCGTCGTGAGGGATCACGTCGTGGAGGAGGTGAGGAGCGCGGAGTGCGTCGCCATCCAAGCGGACGAGACCACCGACGCGTCCGCCCACTGCCAGCTGGTGCTCGTGCTGCGCTACATCGACGCCGGCGGCGGCGTCCGCGAGCGCTTCTTCGAGCACGTCACCGTCCGGGACGCGACCGCCGACGCCGTCGCCGGCGCGCTGCTGGAGAGGCTGAGCGCCATACTGCCGGACGGGCAGAAGGACAAGCTGGTGGCGCAGGCGTACGACGGGGCCGTCGCGACGCGGGGCGGCGGCGTGCAGCGCAAGGTGTCGGAGGTCTACCAAAACGCGCGCTACGTGCACTGTTACGCGCACCCGCTGAACCTCGTCGTGCGGCAGGCGACGTCGCACATCCCCGGCATCGGCGCCTTCTTCGCGGACCTCGGCGGGTTCTCCGCCTTCTTCTCCGGGGCGCCCGAGCGCGCCGCGGCGCTCGGTGGGATGCACGCGACGCGGTGGGACTTCCACGGCCGCGCGGTGGACACCGTGTACGAGCACAGGGCTGAGCTCCTCGAGTGTTGCCGGGCCATCAGAGACTGCGGCAACTTTGACCCCTCGACCGTCAGAGGGGCGGGCGGCTTGGAGAAGATGCTTGAAGACGAGGATTTCGTTTTTTTCCTGGGTTTGTTCCACAGGATCATGCCGCATGTGGACATGCTGTCCAACCAGCTGCAGAAGAAGGACATCGACCCGGTGTTCATTGAAGCACTAGTCGAGAAGTTCACGGAGAGCATTGAAAAAATTAGGTAAATAAATATTTGCTACCGGGTGAAAATGATCACATTTGTGTAATAATGCAGGTACACACAATCCGTAATAACGGGCGTATGCAGGTCCACACCAAGTCAATTTGTAGAAGAGGCCTAGTTGTTGCATGTTAAGCAACTTAAACTTTTGTTGGGGGGGGAACAGAGCCTCCATGTCCTCTGTGTGTGGGGACAGCGAGTCTGACCAGGAGCCCAAGCCCAAAAAGCAATGTAGGATGCGGGGACCAAGAGAACAGAGGGTGGCCACAGAGGTAAGTTGAGGTGTAGATGTACTTGACTCAAATCAGAATGCCTTTCATCAAAACGGCTCTATTTCAAGTTCTAAACCGATGCTTTATCATTTACAGGTGTGTGACGCCGTACTGATGCAGGTCACGGAGCGCTTCGCCTTCACCCAGCACCTCACCGGCGCCAGGCTGTTGCTCGCAGAGCTTTTCCCGCAACACAGGGCGAACTTCCCCAAGGCGGCCCTCGACACCACGGTGGCGGCCTACCCCGCGTTGAACAAGGCCAAGCTTAAAAAAGAGCTGTCCTTCATCTACGACAACAGCGAGTTCAAGGCGTGCAGTGGCGCCGTGGCTATGTACCAGTTTTTCATAGCAAACGACCTTCAGAGCATCTTCTCGGAGACTGTCCGCCTCCTCAAGATCCTCATCACCACACCCATGACGACGGGGGAATCCGAGAGGTGTTTCTCTACTCTGAAGAGGATCAAGACCTTCCTGAGAAACACGGTGACACACGATCGCCTTAATGCGCTGGCCATGCTCTCCATGGAGAAGCAACTTCTCAGGGACATTCCGGACTTCAACAAGAAGGTCATCGAGAGGTTTCTTTGCCACTTGGAAGGAAGGAAGAGCGAAATTCCTCTAAAAATAATTTGCATGTTTCCCCACAACACTGACTGGCTGTTATAAGGGAACTCTCAATAAATGTACGTTTTTAAATAGATTTTATTATCTATTGAATTGTCGTGTTATTTACAATACAGTAATTGTTTTTGCACTGAATCATATTGGGTTTTTTCTAATTGATTGGATGGCCCTATACCTCGAACATTTCTGGATCCACCCAACAATACTTGAAGGTATTTGTAAAATGGCAGAAGTAATCATACGTGTTACAAATGAATAACTTTACACTGTTAATTACACACAAGTCAATACATGCCTTTTGACCCACATTCATCCAACACGAGTCAAAGAGCTTTTGAAAGGTGGCGTAGTAATAAAAACAGGCTAATCGTGTGCAGAGATTTAATTTGCCTTTTTTTATTGCAGAACATACAATTATTTCCACCACGACTGATCAAGCACAACAGAGTGATAGTAAGAAAGAAGTGCTGCCCCCCCGACCCCCTCAAATCATTAACATCATTGTAGTTCTTTTAAAACCAGCTTGCAGCACTCCGCCACCTTCGATGGATCAGACACCGCCGAGTACTTGGAAATCTGAGAGTTGACGCCCAAGGAGCGAGCCAGGTCCTGCGCTGTCTGGTCTGAGGCCACGGTGGTTCCCAAGGCAACCAGCAGCCTAAACACCGCCTCCTTGTCTTGCACCGTCTCCAGAGCTCGGCTGGCCACAGACAGGCACTGGGCCTTGGCCTCGAGGTCGGGTTGGCTGTGCAAGCAGCCGGCGTAGTTGAGCACAAGAGTGGCCAGGGCAATGTGGATGTTCTTGTTGCAGACGCCGGTCAGGTCGGCAGCACGCGATAGCACCGTTTCGCGCTGGGCCATGAGGAGGGCTCGGCCGTGCCTGCCTCCGAAGCAGTTGCACAGAGTCCGCAGCGCCAGCATCTGGTTGGCGGGACGCCCCTCGGGCCTCATCAGGCTCAGCAGGTGGTTGCACAGCTGGACCCCCTCTGACTCGCCGCAAAGGCTCTCGTTAACCTGCGGGTGGCGCACTGCCAGCCTCATGATGTCCAGCACAGGAAACACGATTTCTGAAGTCCAAGGGAAACGAAAAGGGGCGATTCAGTTAGTAAGCGGTAATGAAGCAAAGAATTGTAAGAAAAAAAAAGGGGGGCCAGTGTGAAGGATTTGATGGCATCTAGAGTCATAAATCTTGTGCTCCATTTCTGCCAACAGATCCCACCAAAATACTATTAACTGGCCCTTTCAAAATAGTCTTTATGAAAATCTCTATCAGCGCTCGTGCCCATACCAGTGGGTGTCTGTAGTGTCTACCAAGCCAGAAATGGTAAAATAAGACAAACCAGTCAGTTTTTTTTATGGTCTGCCTGGATCAGAAAAATGTGATTCAACGAGATTGGGCTCACCTTCATATTTCCACCTCGGGCCGTGACTTAATTTGCTACGGCGCGTTGCATTTTTATCACAAGCCGCAGCCATTCAATCTATCCATAAATATACAAAACAACCATAAATTGGGTTGGAATTAGATGTTTGTACCCTCGGGCCAGTGAGCAGCCTTCCACAGCAGGTTGATCTCTTGGATGGTTGGGGGAGACTTGGAGGAGTTGGGCTCGGAGACAGACACAAGCAGTCGCTCTAGGCTTTCCAGAAGTTCCTCGGTAAGCCTGTGCTCCTGAGGTGCATCTCCATTCAGCTCCTTTATCTTGGCTGGCGAGGAGAGAAGAAATCATTAACCCCGTCACAGTAAAGGAGACTAAAAAGGAACCAGGGAAAACAGTATCCTCATTTTAGGAGTTAGCAGAAAAAGCCACAGAGAGATATAAATTTACAAAGAGTTTATCACAGTGTTTATTTTGCTTCATCAGGACTGTGGTGGTGGTGGTGGTGGCGGTGGTGCGGTTTAATCAGGTGTTTTTGACAGTGAGCAAGAACGACAGTTAAAACAGTGTAAAGAAAAAAAAAGTTATAAAAAAGACGTTTCTCATGAGTGAAGAGAAATTGAAACTGTCAAGATTGTGAACAAAATATATTTTAAACACGTTTTCTAAACTGGGCCTCACCCCTTTGAATCAGTGAGAGCAGTGAAATAAAAAGATAAATACAGAAGTCTGTAATGAGATATGATCTGAACTGCTGTAATGTGACATTTTATTTTTACCTTTTGGTCTAAAAGGATCACATGCTCGGACGATGTTAAAAATAAAGTGTTCTGCACAAGTTTAACTGCAAATATCTATTTGACCAGTTTGAGCCAGCAGCTTATTTAAGACCGGTGAAGCCACCGACACACAATCACACCGAACCATGACATGCTCACCCATGATCTGCGAGGAATTGGCTTGCTCAAAAGTCACACCATCGGTCTTGGGGAAGTAGATGTTGGTTGCCGTCTGTCTGAAGGCGGCGGAGGAGTAGGCACCTCCACCTGTGGCGCAGGGAGCAGAGTGATCCAATGAGAGAAACGCTGAACATTAAAAATGGACCGTTTTCTATAAAGGAGAAATGTGTCAGCCATTGAATATCTGTCACAAATCAATCTCTGGTCAGTGGTAAGATCTTATGGCCTCGTGACATTGTTCCTTCGGGGGGGGGGTAACTAACCCGTGAAGGGATCGGCCACACCCGCAGGAGCACTTGGTGTTGGACCCGACCCTGGGATGTAGCGCCCGGAACCTGAGTAGGAGGAGAACCTGCTGTGAAACAACACCTCTGCTGGCAATCAGATTGTGAAAAATCCTTCGGTAAAGATACCGCACCTGTAAACGGATCGCCTCCGAAACCCGGCCTGTCATCAGAAGCCCCGGGGATGTACCGAGCCCCTCCTATTAGATGAAGACACAAAACACCTTAGGGAGGACGTCAATTCAGTCTAATTCCCTTTAAACGCAGTAATCTAAATACAAAATATGTATTAGCATAATACATAATTAGCATAGCATAAAAGCACACCGTTTCTGAAAGGCAAAAAACAAGCTGGACTATCTATACTTTGGCCTCACCAGTGAATGGGTCGCCACCAGCGGGCGGGGCGGGTCCCACCACGTGTCCTTTGGTGTTCTCGATGATAAAATTGGCAACCTGATCGAGGAACATGGGGCTGAGGTCGTTCTTCTGCAAAAAGTTGTGCGCCGTCAGCCAGGGGTCTTCTGACAGGTTGTAAGGCAGCTTCATGGACGGCCCTCCTTCATTCACGTCAATAGTGAAGACGTAGTCGTATTCCTGAGGGGAGACGGAGAGTTATTCGTGGCCGTTTGCGTGGTTTGCCTCCTCGGTGAGCTCGGGGGCCTTACCTTTCCTTCATACACCACGCTCTTGGAGGTCTGCTGGTTTGAGCCTCCGACCACATCGCCGATTTTCATCCAGCGGTCGTCGCTGACGCTCCACTGATACGCCTCCACCTTCTGTCCATCTTTGATCAGACGCGTCTGTCCGTCACGATTCCCTTTGGGGAGATAAGCAAAGGCATCTTGACGGGAGAACAGCGTTGGCATTTTTGGGCAATCGGAGAGATTTGGATGTGAAAGTTGTGAACCGGAACCACCAAATACAATGGTTGCATACAATTTGCTCAAATAAATGTCAGGTCTATATTCTTACCAGGCTCATTAAGGTGTTCCCTTCCGGGGAGGTCCTCGATTTTGATGTCACCAAGGTCCCCTGTCTTTGGGTCAATGGTGGTCTTGGAGAGTTCATCCTCAAAGGCCTGCAAGTCTTCCGGACTCGCCATGCGGTCCTCAACCGGTGTGAACACGCGGATAATGCCGTCGCTGTGGGCGGACAAGCAGCATCGGGGTTAGCCAGAAAACTACTTTGGGTGTCTGTAAATCTGAGAAATGTCCACCGCGAGTTTTGAATACAGGAGTGAGGACACACATGAAAGCAGTACACCGTAGAAGGAAATGGCATTTTAATGTGTTTGGTGAAGCATGCTGAATGCATGGCTTACCTGGCACCAATGGCTATATCCCCATTAGGTAGAACACAGCAGCACCAGACTGACTGAGCTGGCAGGCGGATGGTCTGAGTGCACTCTCCCTGTCTCCATATCCTCAAAGTCCTGTCTTCTCCCGTGCTTATGAAATCTAAGCCAAAAAGCATTCCATAAATAACTAATGACCGTCAGTTTGTTACATTCCTGTTACAAGTCTCACACTCAGTTCTTTCAAAAAAGCATTTAAATGTCAATAAAAATGAACAAACCTTGACTATTGGGGAAGACAGCCAAGCTGTAAATGTAGTTTGTGTGGCTGTAGTAGACCTGTACACATTCGCCTGTCACCAGCCACCTTCTGATGCTTGTGTCATTGCTGCAAGAGAAGAACTCTGTGTTGCTGATCACTGCTAGCCCCCTTACACAGTCCTCATGACCTGGAAAGAAAGAAAAACAGGTTGCACTTTAGCTTGGGCAAATTGATACAAATTCCCTTTTGTCGACCCCCTGCAAACGCTCACCTTCATACGTCTTCTCACAGCGACCGGCTTTCCAAAGCTTTATTGTCTTATCTGCTGATCCGGACAACATAAGGCCTTGTTCGGGTAAGATAACCACTGCCCACACTGCTGCTGTGTGGCCCTGCGAGGGGAATCAACAAGCATAGATTTGGCTACGGCACAACGCTCAATTATATTTTTACTTAAAAAAAAATATATATTATTATATATATATATATATATAATATATATTTTACTTATTAACGTTGCTTCAACAAGGCTTCAGCTCACCTGCAGGGTCATCATGCACTTCTCATTGAGCCAAACTTTGGCTGTGGTGTCCCATGAGCCGCTCAAAAGTGTCCCAAACTTCCCAGAAGAGAGGGTGCAAACTGTGGAAAACATCAGAAAGGGTTAAAGCGGAGGAGCAAATACGATGCTCGTGAGGTGGTAATTGTCCTGAGGCACAACAAACTCACCTGTACTTTTGTGACCCGTGAGAGTGAACAGAGGCTGTGATTGGTCCAGTGTGAAAACACATATGTTATTGTCATTGCCGCCCGTGGCGATGAGTCCGCGAGGATACGTTTCACTTGGTGTAATGATACATACACAGGACACGAAATTGGAGTGGCCAGACAAACTGTGCATCTCCGTGAAGCCGTTGTCTGGGCTGTCGAGCGAGGGAGAGAGAGCAAAGACATCTTGAATGAACGGTGTTGCTCGAGTGGGAACAAGTGGTTGACAATAGCGTGGTAAATATTTTAAAGAAAGGCCTGTAAGTTATTTTGTAGACAAAATAAATGATCCCAATCTAAATCTGGTGAACTTTGGGAAGCACTCCATGATTCGGGCGGCGAATATTCAACTTCGCTGTCACCGGGGAGAGTGGCAGTTGAATGAATGACAAAGCTAATTTGAGTAGTTAGCAAACCGCTTGCTAGCTAACTTAACGTTAGCTAACTTACCCACATTAACCCACACGTATTTCCGTTAACTTCATTGGGGTGGATAAATGACTAACAATTCATCCTTTTTTGGGGCACCTTTTCAGACAACAAGGTTAACTTTACGCAAAAACTGAAACAAACGCTAGCCAACAATCACATTTAGTTAGTCAGCAGCAGGCTAATGCTAGCTACCTTGAGTTTGGAACCCAGACCCTTCCGGTTCGGTCTCTGGACACGGACACGAAGGCTCCATCTGGAAAAACGGCAGATGCGAGTCCCCTGACGTCCATTTCGTGGCCCGGGATGGAGCACCTGAGTTTGTATGCGTTCGCTGATGCCATTTTGCCCCGACGACACGATAAAACTACCACGGTAGAGTTATGTTAAGCGGCGTTGCTGTCAACAAACACCGGCCGCTAATGCTAGCGGAAGTTGAATTACGTCACTGACATGTCATGCCAGATAATAACGCAACATTTACATTGATATATTTTTATTCGATAACATAATTTATATTATTGTAACACAGCAAAAGTTTAAAACATTAACTTTTCAAAAACACGTTTAAGTTGTGGAAGGGAACGAAGCAGAGTGTAACGTTACTACTAGTGTTTCACCAGAGGGTGGAAGCAGAGTTTCCCCCTGTTGTTGATGCTGCACTGCGCTCTAACCTGTTTCACCGGTCCACGATAAATTGAGTAAAGCTGTCGTAGACAACCAGGATACAACATTACTACTAATGCTGTTCAAGTAAAAGCACGATGGGATGCACAGCCAAATCCGGGTGCCTGCGTTAAACACCAGGCCATCTCCCACCTATAGAGTACAAATCTTCTACACAGATGTTGGACAGCAATCCCCTGGTAGAGAGCTACTTTAATATTTGTTGTATGCATCGCTAAAATTCGGTCCGAAAAAATGCTTTATTTTGAAAAATAGGTAAACCGGAAACACATGTTTTTATACCACAGGTATCAAACCACTGCCCCCGTGCAGCCCGCTGAGGCTCCGTTGAGGAAGTAGCCACACTGGTACGTGAGCTGAGAAGGACAGCGAACCAGAAAGAAGTATGTGTCGTTTTATCGTACCGTGGGATGTCGCTTAAAACGCTGAATCATATAATGTGCATATGAACGGGGGGTTGATTTAATAAGCTCACCCGGTGAGGCCACCGAGCCGAGCGCACCGCGGCTGTCAGTATGATCGGCGAGGATGAATGATGGAGCAGGCGAGCTTCTCCGAAAACAGCACCTTTTGTATGCTAATTTTGGAGTTAAATGAGCAGATAATTGTAACGTTAAACGAAAACACTTGAAGGTGTTGTACGGTAGTTATGGTCGGGATTTTCTTTCTATGGGCCTATATTTAATTTCATCACTCGGTATTCTAAAATAATAACGATATCTCGATAATGTCATCTCGCTGTGGGTCAGTCATCTACACCTTCTGACTCTAAATACTCACGTGTTACACAGCTTGGTGAAAGGACTCTTAAGCACCAATTCAACAATCACAGTATAACACGTATGTCAAGTTGATCAACTTATGTGCGCATGAGAGCACGGTGACGTTCAGTCGGGCCACTCCTGTCGGGTTATCTGGAGATCACTCACCATAAAGCATTGTGTGGGTGTGTTGTAGCCGCCCCCACCCCCCTTGTCCCCCCTCCCCACCTGGAGGTCCAGCAGCCATGAAGCTTCGACTGCACTTCGTGGTGGACCCCATGGGCTGGCTGTGCACCAGCATGGTGTTTGCAATCTGGCTCTACAACAGCGTCTTCATTCCTAAACTGGTTCTGCTTCCACACTACAACGAGGGCCACATTCCGTGGGCGATAGTGGTTTGTGAGTGTCCTCCTCTTGGAACTTCCTAATGGTGACAACATCTTGAATGTTGCCATTGGCATTGCTCAATTTAACGAGAATGAAACGCTGTTTACTCCCTTCAGGTTATTACATCGCATCCGCACTCTGCATAGCGGCCCTAGTCAGAGCTTCCACAGCGGATCCCGGCCGTCTTCCTGTGGACCCCCACATACCTCACGCTGGTATGGATCCACGGTCTAAAGTGTCCATCTTTATGCTAGTATAAGCGAAGTAACTGATGGCCTTTTGTTCTCTTATCAGTTTTACCCTCATGTTATATAATCGAAGCACATTTACTGCAATGTTAATGTCACCTGGACCCTGAGAAATGATTATCAGCCAATAACTCTTAAGTAAATGGGGTTTCACTATGTTATTAATGTGTCACTATGTCTGTGACAGAGGGCAACACTACGCGTGATAACCACCACTTTTATGTCACAGAGCGGGAGCACTGGGAGTTGTGCAATAAGTGCAACTTAATGAGGCCTAAAAGGTCCCACCACTGCAGTCGTTGTGGCCACTGTGTTCGCAGGATGGACCATCACTGTCCTTGGTAAAGATACGCACACACGGCCCTCCTTTACCCATCAGAAAACCATGTGGACAAGTAGACGAGAGAAAACAGCATCATGCGAAGGCTTTTGCTGCAAATATAGTTCTGAGAAAAAACACATTTTTCATGAAAATAGCCCAGAAGGATTTAAGGTATTATATTAAATCCTGTTTGCCTTCTTCCAGGATCAATAACTGTGTGGGAGAAGACAACCACTGGCTATTCCTGCAGCTCTGTTTCTACACTCAGGTCCTCAGCTTGTTCACCCTGGCACTGGACTTCTGCCAGTACTACTACTTTCAACCACTTACCGGACAAGACCAGGTACATTATGAAGGAATATAAGAAAATCAGTCTATTTACTGCAACGCGAGGAGGCTAAATGCTCTGTTCCAAATATAAAGATGACAAAAGGGTTTCCATTCTTCCTTCTTCTGCCAGGAGAAGTTTACAACGCGCCATGAACTGGCTCTGCTGCGACTCTCAACCATCACGGGTTTGGTCATGTTTGGTGGCATGACCAGTTTGTTTTACACCCAGTTGACCGGCATCTTCTCCGTGAGTACCGCGTAACGGCCGGAGGAAATGACATCTACTGCTCTTATCACGCCCACGTCAATATGCCTTCTCTTCTCCGAATACAGCAAATGTTTCCCAAGCTTTGTTGCATCCGTCAAACAACCGCGGTGTTCCACATTTGCTGTATTGTTCAGCTTGTTTGCCTCATTGAAAGCAAATTCTTTCTTCTTTTCAAGAGCAATCTCGAAATGAGGCAGACGCACACACAGCTGCAGACGGAACCGAATGACATGGAGCACAAAAATAAAACAATCGATGGTAGTAATGGAGCGATCAATAGAAACGAAACGAGAGACGAGGTCTGGGGTCGGGCATGCAAGTGTTTGTACATGCAGGCAGTGACCGCTTTTAATGCAGTCTTAATACCTTGCGGCGACATGATTTTGTTACCATGCAAGGTCATTTTAAGCTAACATGAAAAACGATGACAGACCCGTAGTCGTGTTTTGTTATTTACCCCGAAAAAGAACGTTTCACAAAGATTTAATAGTATTATAATTATCATTACGGGAAATGATCATCTTGTTTTCCATGTCCCCCCTTTACAGGATACTACAACCATCGAGAAAATGGCGCTGTTCTCAAATGAAACGTGAGTGTGCTTCACTCTTGTTTCCCCCTCTGGTTCGCTTTCCTGCCGAGAGTTCAGTAGATTGCCACCACTGCCATGTCTGTCCACGAAGCTAGCCTTAGCTTAGCATAAGGACTGGAAAATGCGGTGAGCATGGCTCCTTCCTAAGGGGACAAAATGCAAAGAATACATCCACCACCACCTGTAAAGCCCGGCTTAAAGGGGGTTTCTTGTTTGCTTTGTCCGTAGAGAAGGCAGAGTTATCAAAATCACAGCGTGTGGTTTTGTTGCAATTCATTTCTGGTAGATTTGTCATCACCCTGCGGCGTTCAGGCCCTCCATCAGAGAACCCTAGCGAGCATATATCAGTTAGTGCCCCTTGGAGCTGCATGTAGGTGGATTTTGTTCCCCCAGCGGCTAGCTGTTTGGCCCTGTTCGCAGTCTTTGTGCTAAGCTACGCTAACTCTCTACCAGTCCCAGCAGTCCCAAATGTATTTTTTATGATTCTACTTTTCAGATACGGCTCAAAGAGATCTTGGCAGTGGGCGTTAGCGGAAGTCTGCGGCACTCGCTGGAAACTCCTGTGGCTCATCCCGCTCCGGAGCAGACAGCCCATCCAAGGGGGCCCCCACTTCCGCAGCCACGTGTAGCCCCGGCGGCACCACGGTACCTCGCGTCCGCTCGGTGCGCACTTCGGAGGCCGTTCCGGCAGCCTCTTTTCGTGCCACGAGAGCCGGGCGGCGGTCTCGGTCTCTCTGGAAACTCTTTGAGAATCTTTTTTTAAAATTTAGTTTGCATTTCTCCACAAAACCCAGACTGGCAGTGAACAGGGCCGAGAAGCACCCAGGGACTGCTCCTTTAAGCCTTTTTGGAAACCACTTTTAATGGTTAATTGCATCAGAAGGATGGAAGTTTTGAGCTGAAAGACGCTGATCAAAGGGACCCCTCTCAGGTTACTTTAACAAAGAGCCTTTACTACTGACCTTTAATCAGCTATAGCCAGAACAAGTGTGTCTGTCAGGAAGGCGGTTTTTAGTATAAGGTCCGTGCCTTGTTTCTTTTACTGTAACTATGTCATTTTTATTTGTCATGCATGCGCAGTGCATGTGTTTTTCTGTTTTGTCTGGTTGCCAATCCTCCAGCTTGGAAAATGCATTCCTGTTCATTTGATGATTCCTGAATGTTTTCATGCATTGTTCCTTTAAATGTTTTGTTTACCACGTGAGTTTTTTATCAAGCATGGCTCCAGAACAAAGTTCACAACTTGAATACTTCTATGTGAACGTTTTATGACACATGCAAACAGTAACACTTTACCAAAAGTAGAAATCAAGTTTGTATTATAAGGTTAGGTGGTCTCGGTCGTAGTCAAACCTGCTTTGTGATCAAGCTGTTTCTCTAAGTATAACAGAAATTCCACAGCATATTAATATATAATAGTAAGACCTAATCAGAACCTGGAGTGAATTCCTACGAAAGGGTTTGAGTCACACACAATTCACATCAATCACATACAATTAAACATGCGCGGGTTAAAGGAACAATGATGCATTTGTGGATTTATACCCTTATTTGCTTTCTCGCCATAAGTAAGAAGATAAGGTCAAGACTCTCCTGCCATAAATTATAGGATAATCATTTCCCTCTTTGCAAGTAACCCTGCACCCGTAGATCCAAAAATACGTAACTTTTCCCTTAAATTAGTCTGTTAAGCTTGTCTGCTCAGTCAAACATAGCCCTTACAATGCTGTAGCACACGTTCTTTTTTAACACATTAAGTCATTTGTGACGTTAGTGCTGTAGCTGTCACATTTAGGTCTTAAATGTGTCCGAACCAGTGGCTTTATACGTGCGTATCTTAACACAAACGTAATACAAACACTAGCAAATTTGTCGCCATGTGATCACATACACAGTCAACACATTTATTTGTATAAGTTTGCTGTTATGATGTAGTACTGTTAAGAGGTTTTATTACATTCTTTAAAAACGATACTTAAGTAGAAGATGACTCAGTGCATAATAATACTGGCATAGCATGGTTGTCATTGTCTTTAATACTTGTCAATCGCCTAAATAAACCAGTATGTAAACAAAGCTTGCCATATCTGCGAAATATAACAATATCCACGTAGTTTTAAGTGCCTTTCCAGGTCTTCTTTTTACTCTCACAGTACATCACCTTCGCGTTTGTCTCCGTAAAAGCCAAAGACCTGGGGAAATGTTGCAATAGTCAGCAAGCGTTCAGTAAATGCATGTTTTCACTAAATCTGTGACCGTAGCAGTTTAAATGTAATGCGCTGATTTTCACTCCAGCACACAGTCTGTTTTAGGGCATCAATTATACTCTCGAAGAAAAGGTCTGCACTTGAACTTGTATGTATTTTATGTGTCAATTCTGTTGTATTTTATTATATCTACGATTCTGTTGTGTTTTTATCGTCCCCGGAATGGGATTGTTTGCATTTGCATGAGTGTGTGGTCACTTTGCTCAGTGGTTTTTATATCGGGTTGAGGTTGGGGATGTTTGTGTGCTTTTTGTGGTTGCTTTGTCGTGGTTTGGTGGTGGGATAATGGGTCGGCCAAAAGTGCGTGTTCAGTTTCAGTTTCTTTTACGAATCCTTTTTGAAAGCAATAATTATTGTGTATATGTAACGCCATCTGTATTGTTACAACAGTAGTGGAAACACCTGTTTATTGTGAAGTATGTACACTGGTTTGAAGAGTGTCATTTATTACTCACCAACCAGGGATTATGAGATTTACCTACGTGTTTATACTTAAGTAACCGAAGCCAAGATGAACACTACTGTCACTGCTGTGTTTAGTTCCACGTGATATCCTCCTCTTGCACCTCGTGTTGATAGAAATGGAACAATGCACAGGCTTGAGTTTATTTGATTAGAATCCAGCCCTGACGGAGCCTTTGAGAGTACACATGTGCCCTGCTCACACTCTTGGTTTTGTTCACATTCTTTATTTGCTGTTTTCTGAAAGTTTTTTTTTTTTTTCATTGTTCAGACCTCAAACACTGAAACAGGGATAACATGAATTCACCATAAATATTGCTATATCATTTGTTATGTCTAGAAAAGCCTTTGAAATGAAATGCGGCAAAGCTATTTATTGTGATTATATAAAATACCATATTCATGCTCATACAATAAATTTGATTCTGGTTAAGTTGAAGCAGACCCTTTTCTCCTCTTTATAAAACTAATAAACATGACTTATGCATTTTCACAAGCAGCATTTATCAAATGCAGATGTGGACAGAAGGCTTTGGAGGAGCAGCATAAATGTGTCTCGCGTATGTTACATCTTCCTACATGATGTCTAGAAAGAAGTAGATATAAATCGACTGCAGACAATTGGTTTCCTTTGTCTGTGAAGGGAATTAATCAGCCTGTGAAATGTGATGTCACAGAAGGCCACAGTCGGATAAGATACGATTGATCTTTGTAACCTGTTAGACACGCCCATTACCTTTAATGACGTTCGATTAATATCCACTACTATAAACTAGTAGCATTTGAGTGAAAAATAAAATCATGGAAATGTAAAGATATTCAGTTTTACCAAAATCTGTGGTCTGATCTGAATTTTCATTCAATCGAAATTGCGCTAATTGCACTCTGCAGTTTCAAAGTCAGACTGCCCGATTGATCCGACTGGTGTTTGATTCTCGGTAAAATGTGTCACAATAAGAGCCGGAGGAGCAGCTCAGTTGTCTCTCAGTTGAACTGTTCAAGACAATGCTCATTGTCTTGAACAGTTCTTGCCAGTGAGGCGTGTGTAATGTGTGCATGAGCCGTGAACACAATCTATGTGTGTTGTCTAAGATGTTTTAAACATACTCTGAACCACCTCCCCCCCACACACACACACTCTTTTCCTCCCTTGAGCAAACTCAACCGGCTTGGTCTTTAAAACCTTGAATATCTAAGTCCATACAGTGTTTTATTTTTGCAATGACAAATAAAACATTGGCCTCACACCTCATAATCCCAGGACTACGATTTCAACGTCCCTAATGCTTTAAAGTGATCTCTCTCTTATTATGGTTTATGCTACATGTCAATAGACGTGTTGAATATCTCTGAAAACATGTTTGTAGGTACAGAAAGAAATGCATGGTCCCATAGGAAATCCTTAGAACTAATATCCCCAAACTGTTTTTGTCATGAAATACGACGGCAGCATGTTTTAATGAGCCTGGGCTGACATTGTATTTGTGAGTTTGGGGCTTTGGGTCGGTGCCGTGCAGCAGTCTGCAGCGCTCTGGGTTAAATGTGGTCTTAATCTCTGCTAATAGTTGGTCAACTGGCCTAATTAAATGAGTGACCACCTGCTCCTTGTGCAGTCTCTGGCATCTGGCTGAACAAAAGAAATAATTAGCCGCGTGCTTGATAAACATAAACTATGCTTGGAAGAGTTATCTCTCAGATAGGAGGCTGTGTACCTGTCTAGGATTGGAGTTAGTGGCTTGGCGTGTTCTGCTCCGTTTCGCCAAGCCTAGACGAGGATTAAGTCTCCGAGATGGAAGATAAATTTATGATCGGATCACAAACTATGGGTAGCTTTGTAATTTTTTAGATTTCTACCCATATGGGCCATACATCCTCTGTGACATTAGGGTCATCCCCTACATCAGTTACGCTTTTCTTAGAAGCCTTTTTTCTGTACTGCTTCAGTAACAATCCCTCAAATGTGACAATAACCTATTTTTTTGTTCGGTTTCTCATCTTTTAGGCAATTAAAAGCTGCAAAAAAAAAGAATCCAATACTCCCCTTCCACTGTATATTTTAACCAACTATTATTATGTTCTTTGTCACTGTTCATGAAGGCATAATTACATTCTTTAGACCTCAGCGAGTCTCGTGGAAGGGTTGCCAGTGGCAGGTGTTTGCTACGTTTCTCCGTCTTCAGCGCCGCAGCTGAACTTCCTGAACGTGGGGGTATTGATTTGCCCATTGATTTTCGAATAAGCTCACATTGTAGAAAGTAGAAATCCAATTAAAAGTTGAACTTGAATCAGTTAATCCAATCAAGACGATGAAATGTATCGATTTGACCCTCAAAATCAATAAGGTCCACGCGTTGTGAGAACGAGTTTCCTTTCTCCCAAAGAATGAAAAGCTCACATGAGCTGCACAATGTCAGAAATATAGAGTCAATTATCCCACACGTGTTGCTTACGTTTGGGCTCGGTTAAACGCTGGAGGAGAGACTCATTTCAGATACGCGTTGTGTGAAAAGGTCTGTGGACACACAAAAAGGATCCGTTACACACAACCACACTTAAGACAGAAGTCACGTGAGCAGTGGACCCCAAAGCATTGGTTCAAGAATATTTTGTGTGAGCAATTCACATAAAGTAAGAAAAAGTCATTATCATGTGTTTAATCAACACTTAAAAGGAACATTTTGCTTAAAAAAACGCTTTTTCAATAACTTCTCCTTGTAAAGCGGAATAATATGTACACGTATAAAACCATACGGAACAAGCTGTTCACCAGCCTCTGAATTCAATGATACAGACTTCCTCCAAATCTCCCACTCATGAACCAATTAAATCGTCCGGCTCCTAATTAGTGCTTTATTAAAGCCAGCAGCGTGGAAAAGGCGTGCTGCAGGCGTGCTTGTTAAACGAAGCCGCACGGTGCAACCAGCCGTGATGGCAGACGTACGTACGTACGTACGTACGTACGTACGTACGTACGTACGCACGCCACGTCGTCCTTCTGTCACGTATTGTGAGGTCAAACCTTTACGTGCTCAACTCCCTCGACTCCGCGACACAGTCTAGTGAAATTCCTCATTTCCGAGCATTGCGGCCCTGCTTTGTTTTCGCCGCATCTACTGTTTGTAACCAACGCTAAGTTACTGTTGCTAAGTCCGCCCACCGTCCCTGTGGGGAAATCCAGCCGCCGGCGAAGCGGCCGCCGGCGAAGCGGCCCCCAGCGAGGCGGATTGGAATGTGGGCCCGAGTGAAAAGGTCTTTTCTGCTGCCTTTCAGATAACATTTACACATTTACATTTAAACGTCTTAATTCACGGATCAAAGTGCAGTTTGCCCGAGGAAACGCCGGCTGAATGAGCGGAGCGGGTCTCTCGGCTGTTACTCGGGCCTGCTTCTTTTAGGTAATAGACTGGACCGCCTTTGAATGGGAACAAACATTGTTTTTCTTTCAGAGGCGTTCGGAAAACGCTTGAACAAAATCCCCACGAGGTTTTTTTTTTTTGCCTGCAGAAGTTCAAGCAACCTTTGGCTCGGTGCCACGCGGTGATATCAAGCTGCTTCCCAGCCGTGGTTGGAGGGGGGAGGTCGGTGTAGGAGGGGGGATGGTGAGGGTCGCAGGGGGTCGAGGCTCTTTTAATTACCACAGTCAGGTTCAAGTCACTGGTCAAGAGTGTCGCTGAATTTTTTTTTTTTTCTTCCTTTTTTCCCATGATGCAACGTCCACAAGGCCTGGCCTACATGAGGCACAGCATGCCGCCACTGATGCCCCTCTGATTAGGTGTCCTGTCCGCCCCGGGGATGCGTGCGATGACAGCCGGGAGCACGGCGATGGCTGGGAAGCCGACAGAGACGTCCGTTAAATGGCAGCTTTGTTATGACGCGTCCGCGAGGACGTGGTGGATGGTAAGCAGGAACTCTTTTCTCTTGACTTATTCCTCTTTGATTACATGGGGTGAAAAACGTCCCTCCGAAGCAAAATGGACTTCATTTCATGTGACCTTTCCAAAATGTCACGCTGACCTCTGACATCTGTCTGGGTAAAATAAACGGTCTGTAAATGTCCACGTTTAGTAAATATCAAATTCTGCTGATTGCCCTGTGGGAATTTAATGGACATCATCTTGTTTTTCTTTTAGGAGTTCTTTGTGTGACTGTGCTCAGGTCTAAAGTTCTATTTGTGAGGGATATTGTGGAGAAGGCTATTTTAATATGAACTATTTCGCTTGACTTTACATTTCGCATTTAAAAGAGATGTTACATAAGCTGGTAACTTAAGTAGTTCGGTCACATTAATGACCGAACTAAACACGGAATAATTGTAGTCCCGAACGCAAGAAGCATTTTAGTCCTCTGGACCCAGTGATACTGCAACAGATTTGAAGGCCACGAGGAATCAAAAGGAATAGGAAAAAAAAAACATTTTTTATTTGCCAAAATAAATAAGAACTTTTCTGCCTATCTTTCAGTGTTAGAGCGATTCTCAAAGCGCAGCCGTCTGCCCAACCTCTGCAGTGTTAATTTGACAGTGTCAGACAAAGAGCCCTTTCTCCAGCCCGCGCCTTTCCCATGCAGCAGAGGCAACGCAGGCTGACATTTCTTTCTGAATATTTATTTACTTGCACAGATACAGGCGAGCTTTTATTGGGCTCAGCTACTCAAGATACCAACATATTGAATCGGTTCAGAAATAGCATTTAATTCAAAGTTCATATTAAGATCAACGTTTTGAAGGATTTAGCGGAGACCAGCAGACCTGCTGTCTTAGCAGTGCCCAAAGGAAATGATGTAATTGAAAGGAAATGTCATCACTGTGTGATCATGCAATTTGAACCCAAACGAACAAAAGGATCGTTATTCACATAAACCTGTTGTTAGAACATCACTAATGGAATAGAAGCCATAATAGTAGCCTGGTATAGTGCACGTATGGTTATCACATCACAGCCTATTTTGGATAAAACAAGTTTGAGAACCCAGATCATATTTGTTATTCTCTGACGAGACTTCAGTAAATTAAAAGTCCAAAGAGAAAGAAGCCTTTGTTAATCAAATTGTTAATGTTATTGATCATTTCCTGCCGTTATCAATATTTTGTTTTGTTTTATATTTTCCAGTTTATTTTTCAACATATTGTATAATATGGACTGACTGACAATTTAGTGTATTTTTCATCCGAAAGTTCTGCAATGAAGAGAAACACAAACAAACATTTCATGACTCTTTAGCGTTGTGTCCATTTCATGTTTTCAAAAAGCTTTTCAGATTAGAGCTACAAAACAATAAAGAGCACCTCAGGTTTGATTCTCCCCGTGCACCCACACAAGAAACCCGCGTGCACGCTTGTGACCACATGGGGGCAGTACATCCTCATTCAGAGGGGTGGGTTCTGAAGGAGGGAAGGCTCGTGCACCAGCGGACTGGCATGATAATGTTTGGTAAATGGAGGCAAAGAGGTGTGTGTGTGTGTGTGTGTGTGTGTGTGTGTGTGTGTGTGTGTGTGTGTGTGTGTGTGTGTGTGTGTGTGTGTGTGTGTGTGTGTGTGTGTGTGTGTGTGTGTGTGTGTGTGTGTGTGTGTGTGTGTGTGTGTGTGTGTGTCAATAATAATATTTTATCTTTAAATTCAAAAAAATTAAACATTCTTGCATGAGTACTGGGGAATGGCTAAGTACTGAAATATATTAGTTCTGCTAGACGTGTCCGTTTTGTGGGAGGTTAAAAGAGGGTTTTCAAAGACACCCCAGCAACATCAGTCTGGATTTAGCCTGGAAATGATTATTGATTGACCGTTTACAGCCATTTGTTCCGCGACTGATTGCTCTCAGCCTAATTGTTTTTGGAAGTGAATCAAAACGGATGACGAGGTGTGTGGTGTAGATACTGGACCCACTTGACGGCGCGGGCCTTTTTAGATGGAGCGAGTACTCTGTTAATGTCATGATAAGAGTGACGAGAGAGCAGGGAAATCTATTGTCCTTGTACTCCTTTTTTAAATCAGTCAACTGCACTGGCACCATTGCACCGATACAATGCTTTATACCACAGGCTTTTACTTATTGTCACAACACCGACTATAACCGTCATCGCTGCTGACATTTTACCTAATGTATGAGATTCTAACATGTAATATACCCTAATGTAGAACAATAGCCTTCTAGAATCAGTGCTTTCAACAGTATTTTCGTTGTTCATTTTTGATGGAATTACATTTTAATGATAGTGGAAAGTGTACAATTAACATAATCCTGTGATAGCAATCATGGTATATCAAAATAATTACCATGAAAACCGTGTTATCACAGTACCATTTGGTCTTAACATGTTTTGTAGCTTGTCTTATAAAACGTTTATTGGAAACGTCTACATGTGTGTGGACATTATCTAGTTTTTAACACTGTCACTATGCAAAATACTCCCGACAACAAATAACAACCATGATAATCCAATTTTGGTGTTGCTGTAATAACTGCAGTGATTTCCACCCGTAGTCTTTGACCACCCAGCTATTCCGGGCCGTGGGGTCCAACAGCGGCTCTGTCAGGCCCCGATCGGCCCGTCACAGGAGCGGAAGTGAGGGGCCCAGGGCAGAGAGTCCGGGGTCCACTGGTACTGGCCAATGAGGGGCAAGAATGCAAAAGACTTACGAAACAGAGCTGTGTCAAGCTTTGCAGAAACCGCTGGTTGGTACCGGGGAAAGGTTGAGTGTTTGCTTTCAAATTAAGAGGTAGATTTTCTCATGTTGGGATTAAAAAAAGATAGTCTGGCCGATTATTACGCAAATTGTTTATAATTGGTGAATGGATATTATTAATGTCCATCTAGCTACATAACTCCATGTAATGGGGTTGTCTTTACATGAAGACATAGGCCTACACAAAAACATATTTTTTATTTATAACAGTCTAAATCCATGAAATTGAAGTTCCTCTTACTTTGTGAAAACATTAATCTACACGGGCTCCATCGGAAATAAGTGATAAATGTTCCTTTCATCCATTACAAACCACATTCACATTAATCGGCATTTTATTCGTGATTCACGTCGATGGGTTTGCAAGGGAAGAGACGTTATTTTATTTGGAAAACGTCCGACCGGAAGTCCTCTGGTTAAACCGACGTCCAGCTTGACGGTCCGGCGTGACCGAGCCGGAGGGGCGGCAGCCAGCCAGACGGAGAAAGTGAAGGCGGAGACCAGCCCCGAGAACGAGAACTCAGCCTCTCCTGGATCACGTTCAACTTCACTGAACAACCCCCCCCAAAAAAAACGATCCAAAAAAGTAGGACTCGAAGAGGAAGAAAAACAAGACTTAAAAAAACAAACAAAAAAAAGAGACAAAAACCGCGAGGTTCTCCCAACTTCTGTAAACCGCTGCAAAGGCTCGTCTTCCGGTATTGACTTTTTTTTTTTTTTTGCGAGCACTGCAAGAGAAAAAAACTCCTCCAAAGCACAAAGTTGAACGTGAGAAATGTGAAGCTACCGGGCGCGTGTGTGTGTTTCAGCCCGGGCTCCAGGATTCCCCATTAACCCATGCAGTACAGTGCAATGGTACGTGATCACGCGCTCTTATTGCTTTCAAATGTTGCGAAACCGGTGATGATGATATTTGTGATACAATCATTGTTATGTCTATTTTCTGTAAAACTGTCCTGTCCATGAAACGATTGGGGGGGGAGTCGACTCCACGCGCACCACCACACTCTTGCACGGTCGGGCCAAATCGTAAGGGGACTAAAGTTGGCACGGATTCTCCTGCACGCTGCAGTTTACCGTCCCGTTCCCCCTTAATCTGGCAAAATGACGCTCTACGTGGACCGCTGACAGCTCCGTGGGACGCGCGTGCACGTGCGCGCGCCCGCGCACACGGTGCAGCAGTAAAGTGACAATGTTTAACTTCCAGTCTCTCCCGCGTTCCCTTTGCGGCGTTACGATACGCGCAGCTCGCTCGCCGCTGTGCGTGTTTTAAGAGCCGTCAGGTGTTCGGGTGTTGCGTTCACTGCGGGGCGACGAGACGCGCACGGCCATTTTAAAAGTCAATCTTTAAACAACGTCCCCCTGCATGCACTAATTGTAACGTGACAAAGTTGGAAGCCAGGTCTTTTCTATTTCTCTTATTTAAAAAAATATATATATATTTATATATATATATATATTCTGCCGTCCGTGTGGGATTGCGGGCTGACTCTACATTAGCAGGACCCATAAAATGTATAATGTCTTTAAAAGACAATGCATTAAAACAATCGCATATTTAACTTATCGCGATTTATTTCTGCGACTTCTCAGGACATTTTAAAGCGAGTGCATTGGTGTCTTTTCTACAGCGTTACAAAGTATAAAAAAGATAGTAGCTTAGTATCTTTTTTTTTTATTTTTTTTTTTTACTGTAAACCACACACACAGAATTATCATGTGGAGAAGGAGTGATCCAACGTGGTGGACACGGAGCTCAGGGGTTTAGGGCAGAAACGTCCCTGTTTTGTTTTATGTAACCCAGAAGCGCACATCTAAGAAATACAATCTACTGCACTGAGGAGGGGAAGCATAATGTATGGTGTCTATCCAAATAGAGGAAAAAAGCTGCTGGATTGTGGATATAGGGGCTGTGTGTTGGGAGGCGGAGGAGAAGAGGAGGAGGAGGGTGAGGAGGAGGAGTGTGTGTAATTACGTGGGTGAAAAAAAGTTGAGTCTGATTTGCTGGAATTGCGCAGGAGCGAAGGCGCACCGGTCGATTTCACATCAAGTGTGGTTAAAGCAAAAGGGGTGAACGTCACACACTCGTGTGAGTGCCCTCTGAAGCTTCCCACAGTGCTTTTATGAACGACACATCGCGGCACCGAGACGCGCAGACAGACACCGCGTCGTAGCTCGAGGAGTACGCAGCGGACCCGCGCGCACCGGTTCCACGAGTTCAACTTGCCAGCGCTTCTTATTCATTTTTTTTTAAACCTGCATGTCAACTTTAAAAACATCTCCTGCATAGAATTTTTCTCCCCCTCCTCCCCCTCTCTCGCTTTGCGGAGAAGACAATCTTTGGATCGCACAAATTAACGGATGTTCTTGGATAACCGCTGCTCGTTTTACGCGGAGAGCTGCTCCACGGTCTTGCACGGTGCACGTCGGTCCAGGAATGGCGCGATAAAGTGATCAGAGGAATCAGTCCAAGTACACTCACGTCTGGTGTTGCCGTCTCGTCATGTATTCTCCAATTTGTCTCACTCAGGTATTTGTGTGTCTTTTAAAAAAAAAAAAAATGCATTCGATTGCTGTGGTTTGCAAATGTATCTGACGGTGACCAGGAATTTGGAAGTTTCCCTGTTTTTTTTGTTTTTTTTGCTCGCGTCGGGTATTTACTTTCATTATACATAAGAGTTCTGTAAAGGGGAAGTGTCGCGTTCGAACTGATCGCATATTTGGGATTTTATCCTAAACGCACGTGTTTGTGCCACGATTGACTTGACTTTTACTTTCGGGATTTCAAATTCCAATGAATGTTTTTTTTTTTTTTTTTTTTTAAATGCCATTAATTAGTCCGCTCGGTTGTTTAAAAGCCGCCGATACATTTCCGATCTTTGCGTCCTTTAAAGTTATGCGTAAAGAATAATTTTCTGAAAGCATTCCACGACTGTCATTTTAATGTCCCTGGCGCAGGTAAGCATATTTTCTCTCGGGTTTAATTAGTTCATTCGGGTCCCCCAATAACCTCTCACACAAGCCGCGCTTTATAAATTGTATTTCCACGTGTATATTTTTATTTATCGTAAAATCCCCTATACTTTGGGGAAGTGGAAGTTTGAAGAAGATAAAGCCACTGAAGGAAGATCAAACGCATGATAAGGTTGATTCAGCGGAGGGACAGAGGAGCTGACTGTTTTGGCTGACTCAGTTTTACTGTTTATATTTTACTTGGCATAAGTAAGTGATTGACTGAGATGCGGTTTAGTTTGTGCTTAAGAGGATTGTGCTTTTATGGCCCCAGCAGAAGTGCACTGCGAAGGCCCGGCCAAGTCATTTGTCTTTACAGCATTTGGCTTTTGGACTGGCTGAAGAAAATTAACACAATATTTAAAGTGTTTTCGAACAGGAAACCAGGAGTGAAAAGAACTTAAGATACACTTGCTCGCTGCCGAGCAGATTTACTTAATTTTGTCAATTTAATTGGCAACATTAATAGTGAGATGACATTTAAAGCGCTTCTCAATTCATTTGTTTATATCTGTAAATGACTATGGATAAGTATGTTGCATCCATAGTAAATATAATACATTTCAAAGCCATCTGTGGAGAATTAAATATTTATTCATGCTGTTTAATAAATGATTCTAATTTGACATTGCTGTTATGGAGCAGAGTTTTATTGGCTCAAAAGTGCAGACCAGAAATGTGGCTTCTCAGGGCGCAGATAGGGAGTGGATTTCTGTGGTTTCCTATAACCCGCCTGCCTGGCCGCCTACGAAAAGAACAATATGTGGTTTAACTCCTCAAACGCCCGCTCAGAAGGAGCTGCTCATACTTATTACATTGACATTTTAATGAACTGTAACGTGGATGGGCCCCAATTTCCCACGTGTCACTCGGAGCTGCTGTAATTTTTGAAAGTTCAAAATCTTCCCCACTTAAAGAAGTGATTTCCCCTAAATGAAAAATAAATATTGGATTGGCCAGTTCTGTTTTAGACTTAGCAGAAGTATTATTAATATGAGGGCCACAAGCTGGAAAATTGCTTTAGGAATGTTGGAATTTAGCCTTTTTTCATTGGTGATGATCACAAGAAGTCATTTTTCAGTTAAAGATAATGTGGTTTAGGGTATTATACACATTAATGTGTAGAACACTTGAAAAGTAAAATCTGTTGAAAATAATTTCATTAATATTTATATTCAGTCCAAGAACATTTCTTTAGATAAAGGAGCTAATTCTGAAAGTAGGCCATGATTTTAAATGTCACCCAGGTATTTTGTAATGAAGACGAGTGTGAGAAGAAGTGTGTTAACCTCAAAAACCCTGGCGTGAGCTTAAAATAGTGTCCCAGATCAACCTCCTGCAAATACCTTTCACGGGTGGCTTTGATGCGCCGCCGTTGTACTCATTGTGCTTTCAATGCATTTTCAACATGCAGCCGCTATACGCGTGTGCCGGGACAATGGTAATCTCCCTCACTTCCCTCTTCGGCCCGGCGCGCTCGCCCTTACGTGCCTCGTGACCGTTTGAGCCCTTTCGCGTCGGAGCGCGGGTGGTTCGGTCAGAGAAATGCTCCGGCGATGGGAGGCTATACAGCGTTGGGCGAATGAGAGCGGTATCGGGTGCTATTGTAGTCCCGGCAGTTGACGTAAACAGTGGAACGTCCTCGTCGAACCTGATGAATCTAAAATGGTAAAACCGGTGTTGAAGAGGAAGTTCTCGCCTTAAAGTGGTTGAACCTGCCCATGTGACGCCCTGTGATTATATTGTTTATCTGTGGTCTGACCTACCTCGGATCAACGGCCTTTCCTTCGCATATTTAATGACACGAGTTTCACCATTTCTCCCCCCCCCCTCTCCGCATCCAGGATGAATTTCATCCCTTCATCGAGGCACTCCTCCCTCACGTCCGCGCCATCGCTTACACGTGGTTCAACCTCCAGGCCAGAAAACGCAAGTACTTCAAGAAGCACGAGAAGAGGATGTCCAAGGACGAGGAGCGTGCGGTGAAGGACGAGCTCCTGAGCGAGAAGCCCGAGGTTAAGCAGAAATGGGCGTCCAGGCTGCTGGCCAAGCTGCGCAAGGACATTCGGCAGGAGTACCGGGAGGACTTTGTCCTCAGCGTGACGGGCAAGAAGCACCCGTGCTGCGTGCTGTCCAACCCGGACCAGAAGGGCAAGATCCGCCGGATCGACTGTCTGAGGCAGGCCGACAAGGTTTGGCGCCTGGACCTGGTGATGGTCATCCTCTTCAAAGGCATCCCTCTGGAAAGTACAGACGGCGAGCGCCTCGTCAAGTCTCAACATTGCACCAACCCAGCACTTTGTGTCCAGCCACACCACATAACGGTATCGGTCAAGGAGCTGGACTTGTTTCTAGCGTACTATGTCCAGGACCAAGGTACGTCCACGCTCCGTGTGTGTTTGTTTTACTGTGTGTGTTTGTGTGTGTGTGTGTGTGTGTGTGTGTGTGCCAACCAGCCAACGCGCATGCGTGAATGATGGCTTGGCAAGGTCAGGGGTCACATGTGTTCCTTTTTGGCAGTCTTTCTGAGGCCGGCTGAAATCACCGCTACAGTTGCCAGACAAATAAACACGGGGCACTTGATAGTCAGTACTCTATACGCAGCGTACATTTCGACGTGGCTCAAGCATGACTCACTGACTCACTACTAAAAAAAACAATCGGGGAAGGTTTGAAACGCGTCTTTGCTCTGCCGTGCTCCAGCGGCATGTTCAGTAATTATTCGGTATCTCGTACACACACAGTAAATATTTTCTGTTAGTCTAGACATTAAGTGATGACGAGTACGAAAAGTTGCCGTGTAGTTTAATTCAAATGAACCCACAAGTAATGTATTTAAGTGTGTGTACCAGTAACACCGGATCCTTATGCAGCCCTTTGTTATTACAGTTGTAGTATTTATTAATAGCTGTAATAATAAAGAAAAAAAAAATCTGGTTCTCATTTTACCCCATCATCCCCCTTTTATATATTCTAACATGTCATTTTGAAACTATTTCCATCTAAAATCACAATGCAACAATGCTGTTTTAGTGTAGATTTACCCCCATAAAAAAATGTAATTGCGACATTATGTTATTAATATAAGAGTGGCTGTAAGTCAAAATAAAGCTTAGCACTGACGTTGCGAGTAGACCTGAGTGGGGCTTTTATATTATCGGCCAAACATTTCAGGATATTAACAATATTGTGTCTGTTATAAATCATGCGTGTGATCGCGTTGGCGCCGAAATCCGGCTTTTCTTAATTCCTGAAAAGCTGGTTTCTTTTACATGAAAGCCTTTTGCGGACACAGCGATGTGCTCGATGCAAAGACTTGAAACCTGCTTTTTATTCAGCTCAGTGTTTAATAAGAGGTTGAAAAAAATGTGGTGCCAGGTACTGGAATAGGTTTCGACATGCACATTTCTAAATTAGATGTGTTAAAGCCTTCTGCGTGCCAGCCTGCCTTTTTTTCAGAATTAAATTCTCGCGATTTATATTTCCCATTCATACACTACCAAAAGACTGCCACGCACTAATGGAATATTGGCATTTGCCAGAACATGACAGGTAATTTCAAACGCAAAATTCAAGCCAATATGTATTCTCAGAAATAATTTAGAAAAGGAAAAAAAACGAAACTAATTATTCATTTTACACACTGCTCACATCCACACATCCACAAAGTTTAAAAAGTAGTAGTAGGAGCAGTAATTAACAACAGATAGTACACAAGTTTGGAAAAAAAATATTATTTAGTTCAATGCTGTAAATCAAATTTTTATTTAGACCCAATCTAGCTTTTTTACACAATAAAATTCAACGTTTCATCGCTCTCCGTAAACTTGACCCATAGGAATCCCCCTCTGTTGTATTTCTCGCTTAAATTCCCCTGTATTAAATCCATTGACCGAATAGCCGGCGACGCTCTGCTATTGAGGGAGAACTGGTGGTGTAGCTAGCTCATTATCATCAAACCCTGAGCGCCATTTTGTGTTTGATAAGTGCCAGCGAAAGCAGAAGGCACAGCACACAGACAATAATGGTTGCCACTGGCACCGGGGTTGGCACCAGACCCTCTTTTGTGTCTTTTGTAGGATGCCACCGCTTCCCTGGTTTGCATCTGCTTCATTTTTTAACTATTCAGCACCAAGTGAAGAACGGCCCTTCAATGACAAACAGACACCATTTATATGATGAGTTGTGGACGGCATTTTACTAGCTTTTATAAAAAATAAATAAACGGGGGGATACATTTGCGATTCGGATGAAAACCATTTCTTACCGTTTTTTTTCTGCGGGTTGAGACTTTGGCATCGCGCAGGCGGCCGTGCTTTTTCTTCCCATGCGCAAGCTAAAGCGTCTTTTCTTTCTCTTCAAGTCACCGAGCGGTGCCCACCTCCAGTCAATGCAGCCATATTGTGGTAGCGTGTGGTGCGGCGCCATTTTGTTTTGCACCGTGCCAGGGAGGCAGGCAAATCACCAGTAATGGTTGTTAGATGTTGGCATCAAACCCTCTTTGTCTGCTTGCAGCGTGCCTTTGATTCGTTGGTTGGCATCCGCAATGCAGTGGGCACGTCGGAAAGTTTTTTTTGACAGTGGCAGAATGGCCGCCGCCGCCGCCTTTGTTCTGCTGCAACTGCACGAAACAAACGCAACAACCGAACAAGTGAGCCCGAAGAAACAAGCAAACGGCTTATTCTCAAACAGAATCGCTTTTCCTTTGTCGTGCGAATCACAACAACAACAAAAAATTACAACAATATCATTGTTTTCCTCGTCCTGCAAGCTGTCAGCGGCTCACTTCTGCAGGGTTGTGTAATTGGATTAAAAAAAAATAAAATAAATCTGCCGCCGTAATTTAACGGATTTTCTTGTTGTTATTTTCCTTCCTGGCAAAAATCAGTAAGTTCAGCGGGTATTTGTTTTCCATTGTGGTGCCTGAGAAAGGTCGGCGGGTTGGCAGTGAGTGCGCTGTGTGAATTTAGAGAGGGCACTCAGCCCCCTTGTTCCGGGGCACAGACGCGTTTAGGCAGGCGGGCCTGCAGCACCCATGTGCATGCCCAGATGAATGCCCGCTGGGAAGCGGGCAGGGGGCTGAGGGTGGGGGTTGTGGCATCCATTGTGCCAACTGGCAGGCCGTGTTCAATGCAGGGCCCTGGCTTCTCACACACACACACACACACACACATACGGCCTTTATAATCGAATGCACAGTTTTATCGCCATCTTATCAAACCAAAAAAGTGAGATTCTTTTTTTTTTGCACCTTATTTGAATCCTCGCCTCTCTCGACATGGATCCATATATCGCATATCCAGTTTGGCAGCTGGGTGGAATAGTTGTAAGAAGACGCGGAGACAATGGTCGTGTTGGAACACGTAACACTGTGTGTGTGTGTGTGTGTGTGTGTGTGTGTGTTTGGCTTTGTTAAGCTGAACGTCACTGCTTCCTCAACAAATAGGAATGTAGGAATGTAGTCAGTATGTAAAATCTCAACCGTGTCTTTTATTCTTTCTTAATACATATCTGCAATTAATACAATATGAGAAATATAATATCTTTAATTGAGTTACACAAGCCGATTTGAAGAATTTAGAGGTAAACTTGTCATGGAAATCCCAACTATTATCGTTATTATGAGCATTTTGAAGCTGTCGCTGCCTTCTAACCAGTAACCGAAAAGAATCCCTGAGGTAGTCCAACGGGAGACCAAAAAAGTCAAGGTCTAGCAGCCCTCCCATTACTCCGGAGCTGAAAGTTAACACGCCCATAAAACATCATTACCTTGACACCCCTCCCCACCCCAAGGTAGTGTAACTTCTCTTTCACACTGTCACGATAGTTTGTGGAACTGGATGGATTACCTCCGAAAACACGCTGCCGTGTTAATGGAGACCTTGTTTTTAAGAGCGGACGACTTAACCTCCGCCCCGGGGGGGGGGTCGTGACCTTTTTCACAAAGATGTGACTGGGTGTCCTCTGAAGTTTAATTGAGCAAAACGGATCAGTGAAAACGCGCCGTTGCGGGCCCAGGGCACGTGGAGGAGGAAGACTTTTTGCCTGGAGGCGGCGGCGGCGGTGGTGGCGGTCAGGGGAGGAGGTGGGGGAGCCCCCCTGCCCCCACCCTCCCCTTCATGACCTCCTCTATCGGGGTCAAACCGCAGCGGTCACAGGATCACCGGTGGTCCTTTTGGCAAACCAGTTTGTCATCCACTCCCCCGCCGCTACTCCTGTTGTGGCTGGTGGTCCCTTGGTTCACTGGCCTAAGTGAGGGGGAGTTTGGTACCACTGACTCCCTACATCTCACACCACCCCACACACCCCACCCCACCCCACCCGTCTCCGGTCCCTTGAGCCGGGTCGTGTGGCTGGCCCCCCTATCTCCGAGATTGGCCATCGCCTGCTCACCAGACTGCGCGCGGAAGCCGCCTGCATCTCGTTTTCCGCACGGCTGCCTTTTCGAGGCGGCCAGTGCGGAGGCCTGACCCCCCCCGTCCCGTCCCCCTCCCACCCGGGTCACAGTGGAGGCCTGTGACTAAGCACAACATCTATCCCTCCCTCCCGTCACCCGCCTTATCCTCCTATGCCATCAGGAATCACCCCCGCGGCACACTGCGCGGCCAAACCACGCTCTCTCTCTCGCTCCTTCTCCCAGTCGCTTTTTCTTTTCACACTCCCTGGCTTTCCCTCTAGCCAGAAACCACGACCATGACAGCTGTCCCAGGCCCAGGCGCTCGGCCAGAGAGAGCGCTGCTGGGTCCCTGCCAGAAGTGTGAAACAAAAGTTGTTGTAGGCAGACAGCGCCGAGGACGCCACTGTTTGTCTTCATGTTTTTGGTCGAGTTATTAAGCGGCGTTTAATTTCAAATGTTCCTGGCGCGACGAGAGACGGCCCTTTTTTTCTAGAAGCCCAGTTGGGTTTGATTCCTGGACGTGAATTAAACCGTGAGCGCCCTGAACGAAACGAGCAGGCTCCTAGAAGCACAAATCCTGGGAAAAACCTTAACCGACGACTCCAGAGCCATATAGAAAGACTCCTCAGGCTGAACTGCTCAACCCAACGCTGGCCTTCCATTCCGGCTTCCTTATTAGTATGCAATAGAGCCTGCGGCGTCTGGCTACCTCTCTGTCAGAGCCATAACCTATCGAACACATTCTCTCAATCTAATCCACTTAGAACTCCCTCCCAGCTTCACCGCTTGCCTTATTGATTTCCGCTTCCCACTAAATGTCCTCCCGATCCTTTTTCTCTTAACCCCGGAGCTATTTATGTTTTTGCTGTAGTCTTTCTTTCTCGTCTCTCGCTTCTCTTTCTTATCTCGAGCCTTCCTTCTTTCTTTCTTTCTTTCGTTCTTGCTCACTTGCCGACTTTCATTCCCTCTTAATGGCTCC